TCCGTTAGATTACTAAAGTGAAAAGCGAAAAGAAACCCAAACAACCAAACCAAACAACCCAAAACCAAGCACCTCAAAACAAAAACCTATTTTCACACTGGAAGCTTGCCATAGAATGAACAGATAACAGAGGTGTGAAAGACCATTCAGAAAAGATAGAGGTCCCTGGCAGAAAAGCAGAATGAGTAATTCACACTAGCAAGGAACAAAGGGAAATTCCCATGCTGCAACCTCCTTCAGCAGGGAGGAATGAGGCAACCTGCTTCAAGTGAAAGGGTCAACAGGGGATGTTTCAAAACAGATTTATAACACAAACAGTAAGTGACATTAAACTGGCGTTTATCCAAGGGCTCTGGAGGAACCCCAGCACAGAACTCACAGCTGCTAAGGCAATGAAACCTGTTGCTTAATTCAGCCTGAAAACAGAGGTATGACAGGAGGTGAATGAGATGCCAGGGCTGGGCTTTTGTAAAGGTAAATCTGTGGATGTATAACTTCTGAATCTGAGTTTTACACGGGCAATTAGAAATAACACCCCAAGGGCATGTAGAGAAATGGGATTAAAAAGGAAGAAACAACTGTAGCAGGAGGAACTCATGTCTCACTTAAATGACTGAGGAATCCCCTTCCGTGGATGTGCCTGGACAGATGGATGTACTTGGATACCCAAAACACATTCAGCAAGGTGCCACACCAAACATCCCTAACTGCTCTTCACAACATGCTTACTCCCATGGTCAGTGACAAGGCAGAAGATCATGAAAGGACAATGTTTGGAGAGGCTGAGATATTCAGTGTAGTGAAAGTGAGCACTCACTGCAGAGTTCAAGAGAGACATCACAGTTGGATGATAAAATGATAAATTAAAGTCAGTGTTGGTAGATGTAGTTTACACAAAGAAGCTCTATCCGCACAAACAGGGAGTTCAGAACAGCTATCCCCACTTAGGGAAGTGGCCTGGGGATTGACTCTGTGTTTTCTCCCTTCTCTCTCAGAGAAGATACAGTGGTGTTAAGAAGAAGCAGAAAAGGGGAGAGAGTGAATTATATAAAATGATGTCCAGTGAGCAAAATGTTTTGGAAACAATTATTTGTAATGTTTTATAGCATGGAAACAAGGGCACATTTGTTAAATAAAGACAGGTTAAAAACCAAATTTAAGTACTTTGTCACTCACATCTCAAGTCTGAGGAATTAATTGCATGGGGTTGCTATGGAGGCAAAATAATCTAGAAGGGGTCAAAAGCAATACAATGCTTTTATGGAAGAGCAACCCAGCAAGGACTGCTAGGCAGAGGAATACATTGGTCAGAGTAAAACTAAACTAAATATTGCTCAAAACATATAGCGGAGGAAGCATGGCTTTATAACTACAATGCTCATCAATGTGCTCTGAGCATACCCACTAGCCACCTTCACAGTCAGGATCCTTGCTGGTTTGACTCCTACATCTCACACAATAGTTTCTATGCTCTTGTGATGCACCAGGATGAGCAAGTTGATAAGCAAAGCCCTGCTCAAGCAGCCTGTCCTACATGTTGCTCCAAAGCAATGGCACACTATGCAAGTATTTGGTGTGGACAGTGAAGTCAACTGGAAGATGGGAAAGTCCATATCTCAGAGATGCTGTTACAACACTCCACGGTCACTTCACATAGGCTGAAGTGAGGCTAAGAGCAGTGTGGAGAGCCTTGTTTGGGCTGAGGGCCAAACAGGTCTTTAAAACACATTTAGGGAAGGAAACATGTCAACATACACCATAGCATTGCCCAGGAAGAAAGCAAACAACATAAGGGCTGCTGCTCTGTGAAAAGAGATTAAGAGCCATACTGGTCACAGGTTCATGTTCCTAAACTTCAAGTCTACAACAAAGATGATGGCCAGAATTGGGGAAAGGAGAGGAAAAAGCAGAGCTGGGAAAAAGGAAGGGTTGGAAACGGAAGGAAAGAAGAATGATAATTTCTGGTTTAGCCAGCCTGATGGGGAATTGCTGACTTAAACTCATGGGCCAAAGGCAAGCAGAGCTTCAGTGTGGGCAGAATGAGACTGGTCTGGAGTAGATCTTAGCCTAAACATTTGCAGCCAAGACTGTTCACATGTAAAGCACAGATGGAGATGAGAAAGGGACACAAACTCCTGTTGCAAAAACAGGGAGACAGGTTAGGGAAGGTCTCTAAAGGATGCATTAAAGCACCAGGTATAGAGATGGAGTTGGAGGGACAATTAAGAAGGCATGGATTGTGAAATAAATGTCCTGCCAAGCCTCCAAGCTAAGAGGTACCTCCAGCACTTCCAGTTCTGTGGATTACAGATCCTTCTCAGTTCCTGCCTTCCTTGGTGCTGGCTCTGCCCAGCTCCCCACACCTGAGCTTCTCTTCCTAGCCCTCTGTCCTGAGCTCAGCTAAAGTCCCATGGGGCACGAAATACAGCGCTCAGGGAATCTCAGGCCCCCTTCCTGGTGCTGCCCCTGCTCACGTAGCCTGGTGCAGCCTGGTATTTGCCTTTTGTGTGAGTACATCCCGTTCAGTTCATCACACGGCAGCTGAACTATAACATGATATAACATGAATGGCCTTCCCACTCTGGCTTACACAATTTGATTTATGCTTTATCTCAGATAACTCTCCGAGTACCACAAGGCAAGCTGCTCCCATGGGTAACGAGGTAGGACTGCCTGTGTAGCTCCTCCTCTTCAATGGAGAATCATCTCATGAAATCCTAGAATGGTTTGGGTTGGAAGGGCCCATAAAATTCACCCAGTTCCAACCCCTGCCACAGGCAGGGACACCTTCCACTAGAGCAGCTTGCTCCAAGCCCCTGTGTCCAACCTGGCCTTGAGCACTGCCAGGGATGGGGCAGCCACAGCTTCTCTGGGCACCCTGCGCCAGCGCCTCAGCACACTCATATGGAAGAACTTCTTCACTACGTCTGATCTGAGCCCCTTTCAGTTAAAACCCATTCCCCCTTGCCCTGTCCCTACAGGCCCTTGTTAAAAAGCCTCTCTCCAGGCTTCCTGTACCCACCTTTAGGTATTGGAAGCTGCTCTGAGCTCTGCCTGGAACCTTCTCTTCTCCAGGCTGACCAACCCCAGGCTATCTTCATTGGAGAGATAGTTTTCAGGGAGAAGATGGAAGAAATTCTTAGCATAACTCACGGTCTCACACAAGTCTGAAGCTCCAATGCCTGACTTTCACCACGAGCTGGAAACATGCAGGCAAAGACCATGCTAGAGATGTTAAATGTGCGCTTTATTCTTCAACAGCCTATTGTATTCCCAGCTCTTCCCCACTGCTGGCACACAATTCTCCCCATAACAGCGCAGCATTAGCCAGACTACTCTCCAGAAGGTTGGCTAGACCTTGCATATAGGCAGATAGCATTGAGAGAACCTTGCAGAAATCATGCCAATACCTCTTGTCCTGCATAACCTCCTTAACCAGCTTCTCTTCCCTTGGTTCCCTCTTGCCATGTAACAGCAAGCGCAGCAGCAGAAACCTGACCTGCCAGCCCAGACGTGCTGCCTGGGTTCGTGCCAAGCTCCTGGCTGTCCACACTGCAATCCAGCTTCCCACACATTAATTCAGGGGAAAAAAAAGGGTGATTGCTTGCCAGGAGATGTGCCATCCACATGCACCAGCATCCTGATCCTCCCCGATGTTGCTTTCCCCCATGTCACTGTGAGCTAACAGGTACTGGAGGCAGCTGCTGTGGGAAAGCTCTTCATCATCCTCCTTTGTTCAGTGTTATCCCTGCCAGGCTACAGGAGCAAACATTGGTTTGCAGCTGGGCCTTTGCCCTGGGCTTGCACCATGCTCTGGGGCACAGGAATGAGGAAAGAGCTACAGAGCAGCCCTGTTACTAAAATACATTTCTCATATGTGCATTAGTGAGTTCTAACAAATGTTTTGGCCATGAAGTAGTTCTACATGCTACCCAGAAAGCAGGCTTTCCAGCCGCCCAGCCGTGGAGGAAGCCAAGGAGAACACTGGTGCAGAGGCCTAGGCTGCCCAGCAAAATCTCTCTAGCCTTGGCCAGGAAGACTCTGCAACCAGCAGCCTTTGACTGCCTGGACTGGTTCTGTCCTGCACAGCCTTAAAGCAGCTGCCAAAATCCAGCATGAGGAAGAGAAAAGGTGTGTTAGTGCAAGGCAGTGCTGGGGAGAGCCAGGACATCAGGCTGAAAAGGTCACTCTTCCCTGCCTGGTGCCCAGCAGTGCTGCCTTCTGATCTAAGGCAGCTCAGCACTACGGCTCCAGAGAGCACAGGGGAAGGGGGGAGAAACACCCCTACTGTAAAAGGCAGTGCTGAGACATGGCCACAAGCATCCTGCATCACATTAATAACCCTCTGGCCCCAGTGCTAACCCATATTCCCTGGCCTGAGCAGTGTAGAGGGATGTGCAGGGAAGTGCTGAGCCAGAGGAAGCTCAGCACAGGATGTACAGGGGATGTCTCACCACAGCATACACAGGTAGACAAGACTGCTGTGGGAAAAGAGCACTGTACACTTGTACACTGGGATTACTGGCCCATGAGCCTTCAGCTTCTCCAGGAAGACACCTCATGCGATCCTGTGCCTACCCTCAGGACTGTGTTAGCCGTTCTTCTCCATCTGCAGTCTGTGGCTGAACTGATTGCAGGTAACAGGAACAAAGAAAACACTGAGCTTTTCCTTATGGAGAAAAAAAGAGATGTATTTTAAAAGGCAGAAAATATGTATCAAGTGGCATGGTCCTGTATAGTCCAAGCCTTCTTGTTTAGTCTGGAGAAGGCTCAATGTGGACCTTATCACTCTCTACAGCTATCAGAAAAGAGGTTGTAGTGAAGTGAGGTCAGTCTCTTCTCTCAAGTAACAAGTGACAGGACAAGAGAAAATGGCCTCAAGCTGCACCAGGGGAGGTTTAGATTGGATATTAGGGGAAAACCTCCTCCTCAAGAGCATGCTCGGGCATTGGAACAGGCTGCCCATGGAGTGGTGGAATCACCGCCTCTGGAAGTGTTCACAAACTGTGTAGACAAGGCTCTTAAGGACATGGTTTAGTGGTGGCCTTGGCAGTGCTGGGGTAAAGGTTGGACTTGTTGATCTTAAAGTTTTTTTCCAACCTAGTTAATTCTACTGTTCTATGATTCTACGATTCTACCTTCAGTGTAAAGTAGTACGTTGTCCAGCCCAGACATGTACTGATTCCAATTAGGATGAACAATGGGGTTTCACCAATTATTCCTGACTTGGCTTTGGATAGGGATTGGGGAGCAGTATACCAGCACATTGACACAAGGGCAGAAAATTCCCTCAGCAGGACCTTCTTGCCCCTTGTCTGAGCTCCTATTCAGGTGCTCCTGCACTCAACAAAAAGGACACACCAGTTCCATTCTCTGCTTCGCAACCCCAGCTTCCCATGCTACCCAGAACAGAAGATACACAAGACCAAATCAGAGTCAGTGGACTTTAAGAGGTAGGAAGTCAGTACACGTGCCTTTCAGAGAACAGGCAATTATCAGATATCCAGTTTGTGGCTATTAACAGTGCAAGGCGAAGGGTCTCCAGGTACACTGAAGTAGTGACATGCAGACTGTCAGGCACTGGAATCTGTGCAGGGTGTGATTGTTCCCATTGTCTCCCCTCTGCCAGGACAAGGCTGGTCTGGATACTGCAGCCTCAGCCACTGAGACCAGCGGAGTGCTGATGAAAGTTAATCTCTGCAGCAGTGCTGTCTAAAGGCACAGGGCCAGCTGAGTGCAGAAAATACACCAAAAAGAAAGAAAAAAGGCTGCTGTATGTCTGGATATGTTCACCTAGATAGCCAAGGCCCAGCAGCACCAGAAGAGGATAGGACTGAGCCTCTTTGACCTGCAAGAAAGTCAAGAAACACAACTCAATGGAAGACATAAACAGAGGGCTCCACTCAGCAATCTCAGTACAATGTGGTTGCAGTTATCCCACATGCTTTGCCTTTCTTCTGCCTAACCTCAGACACAAGGAGCATCCCCTGGGTACGTTCAATACCCATGTACAGGAATGAAGAGATTGAGTCAAATGCTTCAGGGGGAGGATTTTCTCAGCCATTAAGAGGAAGGCAAGACAAGTCACAGCTAAAAACCTTTGCTCCAACATGAATTCGTGGGAATGGAAGCACGCAGGGAGCTCAGCAATCCCGCTGCTAACCCTGCAGTGGGTCTCCAGCCAACAGCGTGATTTGACCCCTTTCCACTCCTCAGCCAACACAATTCCAGATTCTTCCTGAGGTATACAACAGCACCAACACTGCTTCCTCCCACCTTTAGCAACTGAATGGGATGGGGATTTACAGACTGGCTGTACAGGGGAGTTGTGCATCCACCAGATGCTTCAGACAGTTAATGCCAGCTGTGTCAGAAGGCCCACTCCACATATTCCTGTAACTCACCCAGTACATTACAGCCTCAATAACCATTTGTGTTTCCAGCTGCCGAAACCTTGTTTAAAGTCCTCACAGCCCTGCCTTTGGGTCTTTGCCTCTGCTTCCTACCCCCAGGGCTCTCTGCCCAGAACCCAATTCTGATACATGCATCTCATCACAACATTAAGCCAGTGCAGCTGACTATTGTAGTGTGCAGTAGGCCTTCTGATAGTACTTGTTCTTCCAGTCCCAGGCCTCTTAAGAAAGGGTGAGCTCCCTCCAGCAGGCCCATTACTGTACTGCAAGCACACTGTGCACCACAGGTGCTGGGAACCCAACCTTACACTCACGTTTTCTATTTTTCCTGGTCTCTTCGCAGTCCCAGAATGGAAGCTGGCTGCTGCCCTTTGTTATTCCTGCTCTATTTCCAAGTAGTTGGTGGCCAAAAGATGCTCCAGGTGGAGCAGGAAGGGAAGAACCCCTTTGCTCCTCCATTTCCATCTGCCCTCCCATGTGCTGTTTTCTCTTACCGTGTCACTTAGGCTCTACATCCTCCATGCAAACAGCTCCATTGCACTTCCTCACAGATGTGTTCAAGGAAGAGGAAGAAAACTGCAGTGAGAAGCAAAGGGAGAGCATCAGGGAAGCAGTGACTGGCATGCTGGCCACATCGCATTCCCCTGTGCACTTTTCTTTGGACATCTCAGTGAGCCTCCCCCAGGGTCTGTCCCAGCCTGTTACTTCCAATGAACAGTGCCTTGATCCCAAGACCCCCAGGTAAAACCTGTGACCCAGGAGCTGGGAAACTGAGTACTACTTGTGGAAGCCTCCTCTCTCCTGCCCATGGGTAAGGCAGCTCCAGATGCCCAGGTGGCTGTGGGTGCTTAGGCTCAGCAGAGGATATGCCCCTGCTCACCTGCCGGATTTCCTGAATCACCAGCTGCATGGAAGAGTGAAGGCGAGGGAGGGCTCGTTTGCTGGCTTTCTCCTTGCCTAAGCGTGGTTTTGTCCTACTCTTGTCAAAGCTCTGCTGTTTTGGCCAATTCTTAGTCCTCCTGAACCACATGCTTTTGAGAGCTGCCACTGATCTAGGTATGCTGGTAGAAGACCTGGAAGGGCAGGGCTGCTCCTCTGGAGGGGTCCCCCCCTTGGCTGCTGTTTCAGTCAGCATGGGGGACTCCACATCTTCATGATCCAAACTCTCACTACTTTTCTGAGGGAAGGAAGAGTGAATTCAGCAGTGGCTTGCATACCCTCCACACCAGACAAACAGCACAACCAAGAAGAATACCCAGCTGTGCCCACTGCTGATATTCAGAGGTTATCATCCACCCTCCAGAGCCTCTCCCCCACTCCAGGAGTCCCCAGTGCCCCACTGTTTCCTGGTGCATGCAGAAGAGGCCAAGCCACTTGGCCAGAATGGGACACTCCACAATGGAAGCACCAAAAAGAGATGCTGCTGCAGTGACTCTATTTGCTCAGGGCACAGTCCGTGCCCCATTTTCCAGCATTTACCTGGCCACAGGGAACAGTCAGTTTTTCCATGAAAGGCTGGATGCCCACAGCCTGGTGATACCAAACCAGCTCGGTGAGCGAGGCATGAGCCCGGTCTTCCCCCAGGATGACATAGCGTGCATTGGGCTGCACCTCAATCAGGTAGTGTCTGCAGCGGTTCTTGCCCCTGGGAAGATGGACAGACAGAAATAAGCATGGCAGGGGACCATGTCTATCCAGGACCCAGTTATTCTTTTCTGCACTTGTTGTTTCAAGATGTCAGATGTGATCAGGAGTCACAGTAATAAATATCACAAAGGTGCAGGAGATGCACTGTGCTGGAGTGTCACAGGCTGTGTTAGTAGGGGCTCGAGGCATGGCAACTCGTCAAAGTCAGTGACAGGAAACCCACAGCAGACAGATCCAAACCCCAGCAGACTCTAGTGCCTCCCATGCCTGTTGCCCCTATTAGAACTCTGCCCTAGCCCTTGCCTGAGGCTGTATGAAGGCCATGCTCTTGTAGCACTCTGATTGCCCCTCCTCAGGCCCTGCTCTAGACTCATCTTCTCTGCTTCAATCAAAGCTTCTTCCAACCTGGTATGCCCACTCAGCCATACAGCACAGCCTAAACACGACTGCACCCTTGGAGCCACAGCACCCCACCCCACCCACACCTAGTTTCTGGAAAGAGGCAGACTCCACAGCATTTGTCTGCTACTCCAAACTGTCTGAGACACCCACAACAGGAGAGGCTGAGCACCATCCTCACTGGGTTCCTCTGCAGAGGAGGTAATCTCCTCCAGCCACACACAGCTCAGTTTCATAGAATCATTTAGATCGGGAAAGACCTTTAAGATTGAGTCCACTTGTTAACCCAGCACTGCCAAGTCCACCATTAAACCATGTCCCTAAGTGCCATCTACACGTCTTTAAATGCATGCAGGGATGGTGACTCCACCACTGCCTTGGGCAGCCTGTTCCAATGCTTGACAGCCCTTTCATTATGAGACTTTTTTCCTAACAGCCAGTCTAAACCTCCCCTGGAGCAACTTGAGGACATTTCCTCTTGTCCTGTCACTTGTTACCTGGGAGAAGAGACTGACCCCCACCTCACTACAACCTCCTTCCACGTATTTGTGGGGTGTGCCAAGGTCTCCTGTCAGCCTTCTGTGCAAGGCTCACTACCTACCTGTATGTCAAGGTGTAGCCTGGTCGGCTCTGGCTGATCCGAACAAGGAAGCAACCCAAAGGTTTGTCAATCAGCAGGTTTTCAGCTTCCCTGGAAGCAGAAAAGGTATTCTCAGCAGACAGGGAGCAGCTGCTGCTGTGCAGTGATTCCCATCCTATCTCCCATGGTAGTGCTCCCAGTCAACAGAGAGGCCAGCAACTGCCAGCCATGTTCCTAGTTTGGAACAGGTTCCTAGATTTCCTCAGGTTTGGTGATGCTGGGAGACAGAAGCAGGCTGAGAAGGCACATTACTCTCTGCCAGTGCCTCTCCAAGCAGAACTGCTCCAAATCTGCTGCAGCAGTCTGACTACTGCAACAGCAACAGAGCACATTACAAAGCATCACTGGGATGATAAGGCTGTGCACATGTGTATTTCCTGTGTTGCAGGGATGACAGAAGAAGTCAGGATGCTGTGGGGTAGTGATGCTCAGTGCAAGGTAACCCCAGTGCCTTGGAAAACCAACAACTTGGATTATACCACTTTGGCTCTCTAAAACTTCTTTCTGGAAGGAGGTCTTCCCCGTCTCTGCCCAACAAAGCACAGCTTTGTGCTTGCCATGAGCCTTGTTTCAGGCTAAAAGTGACTGCAAATCTCCAGCGCAATTTGGGATTGCTCTGGCTGATTTGCTACATGAGGCTGAGCTTGCACTGCTGTATGGAGACTTAAATCCAGCAACAGCAAGCACCACCTAGAACATATCTAATCTTCAATATTTTTTGAAGGATCGGCTACGTCCTTCATCATGAAGTGCTCATAGCTAGCCTATATTTGAATTCAGACAGTTTTGTCTTCCAGGTACCTGTTTTTCTCCTGCATTCTTGGATCTGCAGACAAAACACATTAACGCAAGCAGAAGCCTTGATAATTATCTTAAAAAAGATAAAAATGCATCGACCAGGCACTTTTCAGCTACTGCAGTGTCCTTTATTCAGCTGACCTGCTATGACTAGCATAGTCTTCAAGTAATGTTCATACTGATAAGCTGAAAAAATCCAGTAAATTATGATCTAACAAGAATCAAGGAGACTTGCAGCTTTAACAGAAAAAAGTTACAAACTGGAACAAGATGCTAAGATACTAAGGGTGTCCGAAAGACAGGCACCCTTGGCAGCAATGTCCCTACACAAGGCCCACCAAGGGACACTGCAGGCAGGCAGCACTACAGATGAGTGCTGCATAGGGGGAGGCTGCATACAGGGGAGACTGTAGCCAGAAATTCTGACATCTATCAAACCCCACTGCCTTGCTCCTACCCAATCACTGGCATAACCAGCATTTCTCTCATTATCACACTGCTTGAAAAGTAGTGCTTGGTTCAGCCAAGAGAGTGAAGTGTGAAGCATAACCACACAGGTAGAAAACTTCAAGCATTTAAATAAAGGTTTTCCAAATAAAGCTTGAGAGTTCACGGCATTGTAAACAACTCCCTAAGAAAGTAGGGCTTTGTTGATGTCTCTCCCTGCCTAAAGGGATGCAAATTCCACCTATGCTGCACCCTTCTTAGATGGGCAAAGGTACCAAAAAAAACCCCTTTAATTTTCCCTGGGGGCTAATTTTCCCTGGGGGCTTTGGAGGAATCTTGTTATTGGTTACTCACTAAAGCCCTTCTTAATACTTTTTTTTCATAGAACCATGGAACGGTTTAGGTTGGAAGGGACCTTAAAGATGATGCATTTAGTTCCAACCTCCTCCACAGGCATGGACACCTTCCACTAGATCAGACTGCTCCAAGCCCCATCCAACCTGCCCTGTACACTGAATTCTGTATTCTCCAGCTATCAACTGAGGTCTCCTTCTGACCTAAACTGAGAGATTCATTTACAGGGTAAATTTCATGTGTGTATTTCCTCTTCAAGTACTTTCCAAGCTTCCCTTCCCTGCACGGGATCTGTATTTAGGAACCCACAGGGCACTTCCTATGAGTTTCCACAATCTTTCCCTGGGCCCATGTAAAATTTTAGCATCTGCATCTTGTGACTGGGAGCTCCATGCTTCTGTCTAAGGGTTTGAAGCTCACAGCCTGAAAGCGAAAAGTTAAGCAGATCACTCCCACTCCTTATGGAGGCAAATTCTGGCAAATCCAACCTATGCAGTCCTCCTAAGGACACAGCAGCTTCTGCCTGCATGCCACAGACCAAACTGCAGCCACTGTGTCCAGAGTGCTCACCTCCGGCTGATCATCCCATGCAGCCAGTTTGGAAAGGCTCCATCATCCTGCATGACCTTCTGGGCCTGTGTCTCTTCGAACCAGCGGAGACTTGCTCCTCTCTTGAGTTCCCTCATTTTTGCCTCTTCTCCAGTCTGTCCCTCTGTCCCCAGAACTGGGCCATGTGCAGAAGGGCCCAAGAAGTTATCAAACGGAGTGGACTGAAAGTGGGGAGACAGGGAAAATGGCCGTGAAAGAAAGGTCAAAGGCAGGGGACCTCTGATAGGATCACTTTGTTAGTGATCTCATTCCCAAGTCCCTGAAGACATGAGCAGCTGCAAACTACCAAATGTTACTTTCAGTTCCTCAAAGGTCCTGACCACACTTTTTAACTAACCACAGCAGGAAAGAACTCTTTCATGTCTCATAACAAGAATGGGACTTCTCCTGCGGCTCATGCAGGAGAACATGTGCATGCAGAAGGTGGAAGGAGCAGGGAACCAGCACACTTGGCTAAGGAGCCCCAAGCAGAGCCAGTGTCACTACCTCTGTTAGTTTGCTGCGTGGCCGTGGCACTGGTGGCTGTGGTGGATTGTCAGAACAGTGGGCACAAGACTGAGGGCATCTCTTTCGTGGCTTGGGGACTGGGAAGAAGATTCTTTCTGCAACAGGAGGAAATAAGTTGATGAAAACTAGTTCCATGATGCGTGAGATTCATCTCCATGTGCCCAGGATATGGACAGGCTCTACTGCATGGAGTAGGTGGAGACACAGCTTGGCAAATGACCTTCACCATGCTGTTTTTGCTCCCAGCAGAGAACCCACACTTTCAAATGGCAGAAATATTGGTACCTCACTGCCCACCACATCGTTGGAGCCCCAGCTCCAGAAGAGCCGAGGACAGGCTACCATAACCTGAAGCTTAGAGCACTTCAAGCTGACCATTGTATGAGTAGCCATGCATGGGGCAGTAGGAGAGGTAGCAACTCACTCTGGGCCTTTGCTTCCAGTGCCAGCTGCCGGCTTCTTTCTCTCTCTGCCTCTTCCTGTAGCAGCTGTACCTTAGCTCTCAGCTCAGCCACCAGTTTTAGGTAACTCTTCCTGCACCTGAATCCCCTGAAAGCTGTTCAGAGAAAAGCTGTAGTTAGAAAAAAAAAAAACAACAAACCAAAAGCTGTTCATGCCTTTGTCACTCCCTGGGGGAAGCACATCAGGTAATATTCCTTTTCACCCTGTGCCCTCAACACTTGAATCACATTATTAAAGAGCAATGAAAACTCTACTGTGAGCAGCCTGTCAAAACCACGTGAGAACTGTGTTCTACTCTCTAAACTGCCAGATTATGGATTTAAAGAAATCAGATTTCAGATCTGAGCTCTCATCTCTAATCCCAAGACACTAAATAGCTAAAAAACAAAGTATCACAGGATCTCTGTTATCCATCAACCTCCCTGGTACCCTTCAGGCACTATGAAGGTGACAGGATTTCCTTGCTGTCAGCCCACAGGAAAACCTTGTCCATAAACAGCCACCACAGGGTTCATTAGAATCATTACAGACATTGCAATATCCCATCTACTCCACCAGGTTCTAAAGCACATGAACCTTAAAGTGGCATCCTCTCATTTCCCACTACCCACACATCTTCTTTACTGATGAGAATAAGGCACAGCATGTGACCGTCTGATGTTTGTCATACTATGCGGTGCATAGCTGGAAGCTGCTCAGATGCTTCAGCAGTGCAATAACCCATATAGAAGTACAACAGAGAGAGCAGGCAGGATCACAGCCTTCTCCTGGGAGCACAGTCCTCTCAGAACCTCTGCAGAGGGAAGTACCAAACTGCCTACAGTGCATGCTCTGGAGAAAGAGGCTGCCAGACAAGATGCTACCTGTAAAGGAAGGAAAAAACCCAACCCAGAGCAACCCAAAACTTAATCCCCTTCTGCCTGTTTCTAAAAGCAGGAATGAGATCAGCTTCACTCACCATCTTTTCCCACTCCTCAGTTCAACACCACTCACAAACAAGCCCTCACTCCAGAGGACAGTTAGCCAGATCTTGGGACGCAGACAAATCATACACTTGCCCTGAGCAGCTCAGCTGTCCTGGGCACATGCTTTCCCTTTCCAAGGCCCATGCTGTCTGATGGCTCCCTCAAGTTGAGGATGAGCACTGAGGAGGTGGGCATCTGCAATAAGCACTCTGACTGCACAGGGCCTTGACATGGAGATGGCGCCTGTCCTGCCTTTCTGTTATCTGGAGAGGTACAATGGTGGAGCATGGACTGGAAAAGCTTTTCTTTACCCCAGGTCTGCATCGGAGTTGAGGGACTCCCCTTCTCTCACCTTTCTGTATGACAACTGCTGCTCTTTCCAGTTGCTCCACACACTTTACCAGCTGTTCCTGATGCCAATATTTAAAGAAAAGTCGTGACTTTCTGTGAAGTTGGGGAGAGAAAGAAGCAGTGAGAAACACTGTTAGTCTAAGCACCTATCATCCTTCTGCAGGCCTTTCTACAGCCATAGAGTTCTCCCTGAAAGGAGTAAGGTAACAGTCTACATGTATAAAGCCTCTGCAAGGTCCCCTTTCGCCAGCAACACCTACCCACATATCCAGCCTGTCAGCTCTGTACTTTGCAGTATCTCCAAGCAGCTGAAAGAAAAGAAAAAAGTGAAATACATAATTTTCTACCAGAAGTTAACACCATGCAGCCGGTGGTTTTAGGTGCATGAAGTGTTAGAAGGCATCTCAACAATTCTGCATTACATTCTCTGTCCCCTGCCACATTCAGTAACTGGGTGTCAATCTGTAGCACTCCTTGAGGAACAGCTAGGATCACATTTGGGAACATCAGCAAAGGGGTGCCCAGAGGCAGATTTCCTTCAGCTCCCTGGCAGGCACTTCTGCAGAGCCTATTTTATTCTCAGAACTGTTCTTCCTTATTTTGTTTCCAAGCTCTTTGGAGCACACAAAAGTTGCAAGGTCAGCACAACAAGACTTCCAGGAGAAAGCCTGTTTTTCAACTCCAGTTTCATTTTGCAGACTCTAGTGATAAAATTTGGGTCATTCGGAAAGATTCCCCAACACTAAGAACTGAAAGCAGCATTCTAGCTGCACCATAAAGACAGCTTCCTCTCTCTTTCTGCCAATCCAGAGTGTGAAATCATAGTGACACTTTGTGCTAATATCTTGCATAGCAAAGCAGAATCAGCCAATTTCACTGTGCCACAATCTATATCCACAGTGATTCTTCTCTCACACGAACCTTATGATTTTCATGTCTGAAAAAACACCATACTGCCTGTTTATCATCATCTCCCTCTCCCTCTATGAGATTCTCCCTTGACCTCATTTGAGTCTGCAGTTCTTATTAATTCAAAATCATCAGTAACTTCAAGGAAGCACTGTGAAGGCTGAAGGAGCTACTGCCAGGAGAGGTCTGTTCCAGGAGAACATTCAAATCCTTTTTCTTAAAAGACTTTAAAATCCCCCTCAGCTGGCTGCATTACATGCTTCATTCTCACTGTCAGTCACAGTTGACCATGGCAGGAAGGAGGGACTGCAAAAGTGGAGAAGAGGAGGTGGGGAGTTGCTGCCCTAGATGTATGAAGGAAAAAGCTGACAGGGTAAGACTGTAGAGCTGGAGGGACATTTCTGTGTCAGGTTCTGAAAGTACGAAGGGTATATTATACCTGTACACATTAAAAAATCTTGGATCAGAAACATGCTCCCCAGCCTGAGAGACACTCAGTGCTGCTGGCTTGTTCAGCATTGTCCTATCGTCGTCTTCTCCCACGAGACCACCAGAAAAAAGCATGGAGAAGCACCTGGCAACTGTTCTGGGCCTCCACCTTAATGATTTCACTGGACACCCTTGGTTGTTACTGTGACTCCCTAAATGGAGTAGACTAGTAGTTCTCATTCCACAAGATAGCAAGGCTTTATAGCAATTGAATTTCTACACAGGAGTTCAAGAAAGATTTAATTCATCATTGTATCAAATGCTTTTTAAACACTAACTGTCCTTGCCTAGGGATATGTGCTCCCCATCACCACAAAAACTCATTCTCAGTTTGTTCCTTTTACTCAGTTTGCTATGCTACTCTGAGAGCAATAGTCTCTGACAAACAAACTGGATTGTACATAACAAAGAAAGGGTTCCTACCTTTCTTTTGTGAGGGAAACATCTGGTTTAACTAGAAGAATTGCATATCTGTGAAAAACAAACCAATAGAGCAAGGTAAGAGCTACATCCTTGATGTGCTGAGCAGATCCATGCCACAGCAAACAACAATAAATCACTGTCATTCCCACTCAGCCTCCTACTGCAAACAAACCCATGATCTCAGGCACGTGAACTTTGAAAAGGCTGTTTCACCCCTTGCCCGTATCTGGTTACTAGGGCTGCTTCCTCAACAATATCTAGCAAGTAACTGACAGAGGTTTTAACAAACCTTTCAGCAAATTCCTCAAATGAGGGTCTCCAGGAGAAACCATCTCTTCGGATACGGATTGTCTCCAGCAGTCCATTGTACCGGAGCTGAAGCACCACCACAAAGAGGATCAGAGAAACAAACAGAAACAGGTCATCAGGTCATCAGCTTGTTCCTCTGCAGACAGAAATGCCTTGATTCAGCCCTAAACTTCTCTAGTTCAAACTGAAGAAGTTTCCCTCTGAAAATGTTTCTTTGGTTAAAGACTGAATTTACCACATCCTGTAACTCTGATGATTAACCACTCTCAGTTAAAAGCTGGAAACCATAAAAACCGATGACCTAAACAACTTCACCTTCCAGCAGTGGGTACACTGCTTTGCCTGTATCCCTCACAGGACAGCCTTCTACTTCCAAATCTGGACATAGAAGTGCCCTGAGGCATGGATGATCCCACCTTTAATCCTACCCTTTCTTGTATACGTTAAACAGCTGACAGAGCTTTCTGAACTCTTCTAGTAACTTTAAGTATTCTTTAAAGCATCTCAGATCTGACACAATATTCAAAGACAGTCATATCAGCATATTTCAGCTCCTGTCAAAGCAATTCTTTCTTGGCTCCTATTCAGAGTTGCCCTGCCTGATGGGTGAGAACAGGCTCATCTGGGAAGCGTAATTTTTTCCAGAGTGCTCCCTGACCCCCATCCAGGAGATGCAAAGGTGAGTCCTAGTGCCTGACAAGCAGATCTCACTGCATTCATGAAAAAGAAATAGGAGAGAATTAAGATTGCAAAACCTGGACCTAGCAGTCTGTGTCACAAAAGTGACCAAGTACCCAGAACTTCTGCATGCGTAAAAAGTGCACCTACTCTTTCAAGGTGAGACTCAACTTCCCACTGTCTCTGCAGCCTTTTGGTGGGGTCTGCCCTCCTCACTAAGATGTGGCAGAAGTACCTGTAAAGGGGAAAACTTTTCCTCACCTGCTGCAGAACCACCTGGCTGTCCACCACACCTGGCTCCTTCTTGCTGTTGGGCTTTATACAGCGCACAAAGTGCGGGTTGGCAGAGTACATCCTCTCCATGAGCACCATCAGAGAATGCTGGCGAAGGCAGAGAAAGATCAACAGTGCAGCAACCCAAAGCGCTGCCGGAGCCCAGTGTGCAGTATCCTGCAGCAAGAGCTGTTTTCCCATCCCACAGCAGTTTTCCAGGCTATTTCCCATGGTCAATCCCATCACGATCAGCTGTACCTCATACCCAGAAAAAACCCTGCCCACATGCTGGATGCTTTAACTACGTTTAGCAGCCTGGAAGGTCTGACAAAAATATCACTCATCTCAAGGGGTACTACAGGGCAGTGATACCTTACCCGGAATTGAGCTCCAGCAGATTGTTTTCGTGTGCTGTTGAACTTGTTGTCTGCTTCTGCTCTGACCTGAAACCAGATCCAAACAAAAGAGCACCCCTACAACAAGTGCATGATTGCCATCCGAAGAGTTCTGCTAGAAGGCGGGTGGCAGTCAGGAGGGGGAATACAAGTTAAAACGCATCAGCAGAAGCAAGAAGTAAATGCAGTAAAATACAACAGAGAGATTGCTATCTGCTCTTAGTTTCAAACAATTTCTGTCTGCTCTCATTTTGAGCCAGTTTTTCAAATAATAAATGTCAGGTAACTATGCCATCATTTTTCAATTGCCATGTGGATCTGAAGTGCAATACCTTGGCTTTCACACGAGGCATCAGTGTTCCCGTCCTGGAGATAGTGGCTGGAAAAACAGAGACAGTAGTTATTTTTGTACTTTTTCTCACAATCAACCAGTCTAAATATTAAAACCTCACTTCACACACAAGTCTCCCTACAAATACCAATCACATACAGGTCATTAGGTTTCACCATGTGGAAATACCAGGAAAGAGGTAAAGAAAGGGAGAAGAAAATGCAAATGTATGAAGCATACAATGCAGACAGTATTATTTGCTGCCACAGAGAAGACAAGGCAATCAGGTAATTGAACAACCTTCCATGACCCTCAAAAGGAATATCATCAGAAGGCATCTAGCAGTGCAGAAAAACAGTAGAGATAGCAAATAGGAAGCCTACCTACCACAGTCAATACAGCAGGTTATATAAAAATCAGATAGCTGAAAACTAATTTCAGTGACAAGATGAAAAATTCAGGGAAGTTGAATTTACTGAAGGATCTAATAACAGTCTTGCCCTCCTTTAGTGCAATGGTCTCAGAACCACAGAATGACTGAGGTTGAAAGGGACCTGTGGAGGTCATCTGGGCCAACCGTTTTGCTCAGCAGGACCACCTGGACCCAGCTGTCCAGGACTGGGCAACTAACGTGAGAACAGGTTCAAATTTTCAAAGAGTTAGAACTAGACTAAGTATCTTCAGTAACAGTGTGGAAGTGATAATGAAGAAAGACACTCCTGAGCAGAAAAACTGCAAAACACGGTGGAGAACAGAAATTAAACAGTTACTTGTAAATACCACTAAGTGGAATGAACAGGAAAAAAAAACTCTGCACCAAAAGCACGGTGCTCAGCCAAACAAATTTCAGGGAAGCATTCACCTTGCTGCTCTTTAAATGTCTACTTTCATAGAAGTCTTGGAGACTCTGAGGGCTTACCAGTAACTGGTAAAAAAGGAGTGCAATGGTGGGGGAGAAATAATGTATGACCTCCATGTTTTTCAACAAGGTTTACCTGAAAAACGTGTTTGAAAAGTATAATCTCTACAGCCATTGTGGCTTTACTGCACTCTATTTTCAGTGAGCATCCAGAAGCTATGACCATGTCCATTTCTAGACTTCTGCAGCTTTCCTGAGGCTGCCAGCTGTGAAACATGTTCCCCTAGCACACAAGCCTCACTCCCACACTTAGCTGTTGCAAAGATCATCCTTGATTCATGTGGGATGCTCTATCATAGCAGAAGGACTTACCTTTGAATAGGACACTGAGCAAGGGGGTGATGCTGTTGATGAAGAGACCACGGACGTTGGCTGGCAAGGTGTCTCTGTTCTTCTCTAGAAAGCCCTCAGCACTGTATTGTACCTAGAAAAAGGGCAGCAAGTCACTAAGGCCAGCAATGCTCACATGCTTGTTGTGAAAGCCCATCTCCACAGCTTGCCCGGAGCAGCTGCTAAACTGAATGTACAGTAGCTTGCAAGTGAATTCTGTATATTGGCTCACAAGTGAATTTTGTAAATGCATACGCACCCCATTCAGATGCAAATCCTGATGAACGAAAGGCTGCGGATGGCACCGAGGGGTGAGAACAACAGGAGTGCTGCATAACATTGAGACTCTTCTTGTTCTCTTTTCCTTCACTACGAAGTTTCATTTATGCTTCAACTATTTTCCTTGCTCTCACCCTCTGAACAGGCTTCCATCCTGTTGTTATACATCCCCTTGTTTCTCTTGCTCCCTTCCTTTCTCACCTCCAGCTTGACACCCTCCTTTCTGTATTAGTTATTAATTTTTGTAATGAAGAATGCCACAATAACTTAGTCAACAATGGTGAGACTAGATTATTAAATTGCATATTACAATGACCTTAATTGTCATGTCTGCCCCTGCTCCAAAAATTATTTCCAATCAATTCAACATACTTGGGCCAATTCTTTCAGAACGGTGGAAGTAAGGTTAATGTGCAATAGTCCTAAGCCTCAAGGACTCAAGCTGTTTAGATACCACTGAATGTATAAATTAAGTGCCTCCATTTTCAAAATATTAATTACTTGCTGCTCTTACTGTGTTCCTCAGTGTTGGCAATAAAATATAAGTGGCTGTGGTAGAACTCAATAGAGCAATAGATAAAGGTAAAGCCTTTAGACTGTCCTTTGGCGCTGTACAGTGGATGCAAGGCTTTTATTTTATAACGGACTATTTTAGGACTAGAGCTCCAATAGAATGACGACGAATACAGCAGACTCTTCTAATAACCAACACTTCCCAGTGGTAGCCCCACTTCTCTCAGGGGTCCTCTCTTCCCATACTTCCTAATGAAATCCCAGGGAATCCTAGAAAGGCAGCTCCCTGGGAACACATCACTTCTGAAACTATTGTCAGACCATACACTCCTTAACATAAAGCCTTATTTGTCACACATATTCCCCCTTCTACATACATTACAACAGAATTCTTCCTGCAAATAGTACATACTTTTCCAGCATAGTGAATGATGCTGAAGGCCAAAACATGGCCTCGGCCTGGCTGGAAGTGTAAGTTCCCCTTGAAGCTGCTGTTTAGTTTATCCACAAATGTTTTATCAGTTGCCTGCAAGAAAGCAGATTTCATAATCAAATGGTAAGGCTTCAACAGAGAACTGATCAAAGCACACTGAATGAAAACAAAGCGTTGGAAGTGTCCTTGGCTGTGAAACAGTTTTGTGATGTAGTCCCTTCTAATGCCAGTATCATTAGACTGTTCCTGATCTGGATGTCCTGTCTCATCAGTCACACATGAGGACACCTCTGTTCATCCTGCTCTTTAAAGTCACACCCCAGCATAAGAGCTCTCTCTGCAACTAAGATATTTAACGCTACATCCCCCCCCTATTATTTTCTCTACCCCTTAGCTCACGCATACCTGCGGGAATGCACTTTGCTCATCCAGAAGGGACAGGAGTCCAAGTGGCTTAGCCAGAAGAAGATCCTGTGGGAAAGCAGACACATTATACATGTCTAAAGCAGCACAGGGCATCCACCCTCACCTTTGAAGAGGTTCTTCCCAGGTGCATTGCCTCCCATGATTTAAAAAAAAAATTAAAAATAAGCAAGATTCCTCTCTTGGCTGTGTAAAGCAATTCTCTTCTGTCAGTCCTCTCACTCACCAGAGTAGGTTCGTTATTGTTGAACGTGATAGTCTCCCAAGGCAGATCTTCTTCCTTATAGGCAGCCTGCTCCAGCTGGAAAATGTGCTGAAACAGAGAAAAGAGGGGTTGGAGCACCCAGAAGCCTAGGCTAGACAACCCTTCCTTCCTGCCCTGAACAGAGGACAGATGTGTGGCTCTCTTACCTATGGCATGAGAGGCCCAAGGTGGAACTGCAGTTCTGCAGGCTCATCCATAAGCCTGTCACTCACTGATGCCAGTGCATAAAGCAGGAACACTTCTCAGAGTGTAAGTGTGCCCCTCTGCCAGCTTTGCTTTAGTAACTGCTTGACCCTCCTATTTCCTCCTTCCCTGCCTCAGTGGATTCCCTGCCACAGCAGAGAAGGTTGACGCTCTCTACCCTGCTTCACTGAACACCACTTCTGTCCTTACAGGCAATAGACCTGTTTTCCCCGCAAGCACTCCTTTATATACCAGATAGATCAGTGCTCTGCTTCGTCTGCCACACAAGGTGAGATCATCCAGATCAGACTTACATGGTTGAAGAAGTGCTGCAGCTGCTCATTGGCCAAGTTTATGCAAAACTGTTCAAAACGATTCACTGCAAAGTTTTCAAAACCAAAAATATCCAAGATGCCTAAAAGAGGGAAGATGAGCACATCATGAAGCCTGCAAACCGTCTGACAGCTGCATACCTCAACACGTAACTAAATCTCCTATCACCCAGCTCTTACGGCACAGGGAAACCCCACACAAGTTACTAGTGGCACCTCTCTCTCATAACTCTGCTTGGAGAGCTAGTTAAGAGAAGCCCTGCATGCATCACTGGCTTCTCTGCAAAGCCAGCACCCCAGAACTAAACCCTCACAGTTGCTTCATACCAACCAGCCACTCAAGAGTTGGCTAGGGTCCTACAGACTTCATGCCACTGACTAGTATCTCCAACATGACCATATCTTTGATAACGGATCCCTGCATGCAATCTCTGCAAAACATCATATTGTGCATTTTCCTCATCGTGGCTGAGGGATGCACATCTGAGGACAGAACTGGAGCAAGGCAGGCAGAACTCACCTATCTCCCCCAGTTCCACCTTAGTATCCATGTTCACAGCCAGCAGCTCATTGATCTTGCAAACGATCCAGCCAAATACTCGTCCATATGCCACCTTTGCAATGGAATCCCGAGCATCTGCACAGAAAGAACAGCAGCTCACTGAAGGGCTCCAAAGGTGAGCAGAAAACACAGCACACAAGCTGGCTCAATACATCCACCTCTAGAAAAAAAATTCTAGTGGTTTATGAAGCTATTTTAAAGATCAGATAAACATTAGGTATCTGTCTGAGTGTCCCTAACCTCTGTAATCTCAAAAAGAGCTCTTCCATTCCAAGATCCTCGCGATCTTTCTACAAAATCAGATATGGCATACTAGGGAAATTGTGAGATCTAACCTAAAATGGAAAATCTAATATAATATGGAAAATTTCCTTTCCAAAAATGTCCACCCACTTTTTAGAATACCCAGAGACTTGCTTTTCCCTCTGCAGGTCTACTGAATATAGATCCCCCCCACGGATAAACCAAGCAAGAGGCTTCAAGTTATACTTGGAAAACTGAAGTTTTCTGTTACTTTTAGCCCACAGCTGACAACTGTTGAAGTGCCATGGGCAAGATGAGGATACAACTGATGGAAAACTTGCTGACATTCTAAGAGAAAGATCAAGTCAATGTGACCTACTGCATGATGGCAGATGTACGTGCAGAGAGATGCAAGAGAAGACATTTGGGAAACAACTAGCTAATTCCCCATTTTCAGTTTTTAATTTCATTTATTTTAAGGAATAGACTAGAAATCCTGGGATTTCATGATTTTTAAACTTGTATTTTAAATCTTTTTAGCTGAACCTTTCTGTGCAGATTATCTTGGGTTATTTTGTCACTGAAAGAAAATATAACACCTTGTGCTTGCTACTTTGACATACTCCCCTTTCATTTCCCTCTGTCCCTGATTTTGTGCTATCTTATTAGTTCTGTTATTTCTCCATCTGCTACCTAAAGCTCTGCACACTGACAGTACTCTGGAACAGGAGCCTTCCCCTCTTTTGTACCAATACCTACAGTTTCCTTCTAGGCTGGACTGAAGGACAAAGATAAGCTAATTGCTTGGTTTCACATTTAATGTCTGTAGTCTCCTGCAGATTAAACAAAAGCAGCCTTCATGGTCCTACAAGACAGTAGGAGACTAAACAGATAAACATTGACATACTTGTCTCTGTGTAAGAGGAATGAAGGGACACAGATAGACATCTTTGTTCCAAATAAGTTGCACATGTGTGGGAATACCCTTCCATCAGATACGGGTCAGTCTTTCTAACCAGCACATCTGCAATTCATTATGTCCCATACCTTCTGCCTGCTGCTGGGTGTGAAAACGCAGAATCTGTTCACCTCGGGTCACAGACATTGTACAAATAAGGCATTTTAACAGTTCATCTTCTTGGACTCCAAACTGACCCTGGGAGAGAGAAAATAAATGTGGACAGTCAACAGTAAACCCTTATTCTACTTGTGGGGACTGCAGCTCCTTGTGTCTGTCCAACACCATGTGTAATGGGGTCATGAGTCAAGATTCAAGCTCCACTGTAAAATAGGTATTGCTGTTAACATCTCACAGCACTGGAGTCAACTGTGGGCTCTGAGATCTGCACTACTCCTGCAGACACCAAGCTCACTCTTGTGCTCTCTCTGAAATACTTTCTGCTTTGCTTTTCCATTTTTGCCACTTTTCACCTTTGGGAGCCCTGCCAGCCCCTGCTGAGAGGTTTAATGACTTACTGAGCAGCACCACACAGCGGTGACTGTGGGGATGCTCAGATGTCTGAACTGAGCATACATCAGTCAGAAGAACCCACAAGGGACGGGAAACAAAGGTAACTCAAAACACAACTGAACCACTCAGTGATTGCTCTAACAGGAATTCCCCTCCCGTAGGCAAAAACAAGAAGCAGACTTTTAAGAAGCAAGACATAAAGTTGGCTGCAGAATAGATGCAAGTGGTTGTTTCAGGTATGGTGTAGGAGGGAAACGGGCAAAGAGATGAGAGGGAAGCCAAAAGCCGAGGGTGCTGGGATTCCAAATAGGTCAAATTAAAAAGACACAGAACATGCAGAAAAACATTAACATTTTTTGTTCTGTGTTGTTAATAAAGCAGGACAATGTATCCACCATATAATAAAAATGGGATAGTCCTGGGGAATATATACTACTTCATCTGTGATAATTTTACATGAAAGAGTAGAAAGCTTAGTTCTGGATAACCAACAAAATTTATAGCAGTCAAGGTAGTACCTTTGGACAAAATCTGTTTAAAACACTAGGGTTCAGATACTGCACACCTGAATTTCTCCAAAGCATCATCACACTAACTAACACTGAATATCTGATTTTAAAAAGCTTGTATGAAGTCAACAAGGCATGCATGATATCACCATAGACACTGGTTCTAGACAGATGAGAAATAGAAGCTGGGAACTGTCTCTTTGGGAATGAATAGTGAACACAAATGCAGACATGGGGTTATAGCGTGCATTTCTGGGAAAAAGCTTTCCTTGTTCTTCAAGGGCCCTCACACACTGAGGCAGAAACATCCTCTGCCATCTCTGGCAGGAGCAACCCCTGCAGTCACACTGCCAGTGGGAACCAGCATCATACCCATAAGGTTTCTGTCAGCTCCGCTTGCGACTCACCGCTGCAGCCTTCAGCCATCCCCGGGAGGCTTCACTCACTTTTGCAGACCCATCGCTTTCCTCAGGCTCAAAGGTCACATTTCCCAGAGACAACACACCAGCTAAGATAGCTTGCATGTCAACTTGCTCCTAAAACATAAGGGAAACGTGACTGAAAACCTATCAGTGTGTAACATATACGACATGAAGGCCCCAGAAGTTGCAGAGGTGAGGAAAAGGCACAGGCAGCCTGTGGGAAAAGGCTCTAAACAAAGCCTGACAGACTGAAGTGGTTTTGGGAGCAATATGGAAAATCCAGAGAGGAGAGAAATAGGACTGAGCTTCAAAACAGCAGCCAGAAACACTGTGCCTGCAGGAAGCACAGACAGAAATTAAACAACCTCAGAACTGACCTGTTCCTGGAAGCCCACCATGTCAAGGGCATTGCACACCTCTTTGTATTTGTGCTTCCAGCGCTGAGCTATGTCCTGTGTACCAAACCGTCCACTTATGTACCTGAGAAAGTGTATATCCCATACAAAACTGTCACATGATCAGCACAGCAAGTCAGTCCTACCCCAAGGAAACAAAGCAGATTACAAACAGCGGACACATGAAAGGGAGAGAACTTTCCAAGGTAATATAGCAGAGACTCCAGACCTCCCAGCTTCCATGATGAGCTGTAAGATCTCTTTGCATAGTTCCATTCAGATCCCACTCCAGCTTCCACTCAGTTGTTAACCTGTTCCAGGCTCCACAGATAAGAGCCATAAGGCAGAGGCACAAGCTCCATTATGCTGCTTTCCCCTCCACCCTGCATCATGAGATAACTAGGGTCTGTTTTTTAAGTACCTGTAAAGTGAAGGATCCAACAGCCCATACATCTCCTTTTCCTCCGAAGAGAGTCCAGCAAACATGTAGTAGAAGATGTGGAAGTTCCTCTCCCCAGTATCTTGTTGCACTACCCGTGACTTCTCTAACAGGTACTCACTCAGCTTTGCACCTTGAACTGCACACAAGAAGGTGACAGGATAAACACCGCACTTGGGGACATGAAGCTGACTAAGCTGTCCCGCATCTCTTACTTGGTGATGGGAGCATGGAATTGTCTAAAATAACTTTCTCACGTGCAGCACCCTCTAGGCTGCCCAGCACCCTGGAAATGGGCTTCTCCATGCTTCTGACCATCTTACACATGCCTGTTCACCTCCTTTAGCAGCAACCAAGGCTCCTGGCACTGAAGAGTATTACTGATACTTCCCCTCCACTGTCATTCCCATATCCTTCCTGTACTCCCACACTGTCCATACCCAGGCCTTATCCTACAGCTGCAGTTGCTCTTAGATTTTACTTAACTGCACACCCTACCCACTGGGTGTCAAAATTTCACTCCCCACCAGCCCTGGTTATTCAGTTCACTCCCTCCAGTGCCTAACCACCACCCAGACTAGTAATTGCCTTGACTTTACCTGTATTTTTCTGGAAACGCAGCTGTATGTATTTTCCAAAGCGGCTGCTGTTGTCATTCACCACAGTCTGGGCATTGCCAAAAGCTTCAAGCAACGGATTTACCTAAACAAATGAGCAAGCAGAACAATCATTCTTCAAATTAAGTGATCCAATCTAACTCAGCCAGAAAAGTTTAACTCTAGCATATACTGTCCAGCATTCAGCTGGAATAGGAAGCACTCCATGAGGACCTAAGAGCATCTATTTTATCATAACTGGATAAAGAAACTGGAAGAGGCAAATATTACAGAAGCTAAGCAGCATGAGGTTACTGAAAATAAGTACTATCAAATTGATTTGATCTCAGTAAGATCACTGATTTATTTGTTTAAAGAAAAGGTTGGTATAACGGGTTTCCACAAAGCATCTGACATGGTATCATTAGATAATCTGGCTGCTGTAACTACAACAATTAACAAGGTAAACATGGCACTCAGTATATGTAAGTATAAAACTTAGCTACTGAAATCTGTAGACAGAACAGTGAATTATAAAGATCCTAACAGAACAATCAGACCAGCTTGGTAAACTGGATGCAAACAAAGTGAAGTGATAATTTTTCTATGTTTGAGCAAAGAATATTTGCCGAGTGGAAGAACGATGCCTCAAGGGTACGTGCTGGGCAACCTGCTGAGCACAGCTTTACAGTAACCCAAAAGGGCTAACATGGTTCTTGAATATACCTACAGGAACCAAATCAGATGACTATTATTCCTTCATTGTCAACTCTAATCTTTCAAACAGCAGCACACCTGGATTGAAGTGAACTGTTTTTCCAACTGAGGAATTGCAGGCTAGCTCCAGGCACAATGTTGAGCAAACATAGCTATCCAGAAGATCAGAAGCAGCTGGGCAGTGTGGCCCAAGCAAGGTCTATGTGGGACCAGCAGGTGTATTGATGCCACATTCCCACAGCAGAGCACAGGCATTCACCGTGGATCTACAGTGGATGATACCACAGTAAAATAGTACGTCATTCTAGAGCCCAAAGTATGGCACAATGTACTAAGTTTGTGTGGCAAGATTTTGGTACTAAGGATGCTACAGGGTGGTTTCTGTGAGAAGCTGCTTGAAGCTTCCCCAGTGTCCCATAGAGCCAGCACCAGCCAGCTCCAAGACAGATCTGCTGCTGGCTAAGGCTGAGCCCATCAGCAGTGGTGGTGGCATATCTGGGAGAGCACATTTAAGAAGGGGAAAAACTGCTGCACAACTGCAGCCAGAAGAGAGGAGAGCAGTGCAGGAGGGCAGGAGGTGCTTCAGGCACCAGAGCAGATTCCCCTGCAGCCCATGGAAGTCCATGGTAGATCAGAAATCCACCTGCAGCCCATGGAGGAACACACTGGAGCAGGGGGATGACCAAAAGAGGCTGTGACTCCATGGACAGCCCGCACTGGTGTGGGCTCCTGGTAGGATCTGTGGCCCCATGGAGAGAGGAGCCCACACTGGGACAGATTTGCCACAGGACTTTTCACCCCACAGGGAACCCATGCTGGAGCAGTCTGTTCCTGAAGGACTGCAATTCATGGAGGGACCCACGCTGGAGCAGTCTGTTCCTGAAGCATGTACCCCATGGAAGGGACCCACTCTGGAGCAGTGAATGAGGAACTGCAGCCCATGGGAAGGGCTCACATTGAAAAAGCTCCTGGAGGACTGTCTCCTGTGGGAGGGACCCCACACCAGAGGAGGGGATGAGTGTGAGAATGAGAAAGCAGCAGAATGTGTGTGATGGGCTGACTACAATCCCCACTCCCATCCCCCTGTGCTGTTCAGGGGGAGGAGGTAGAGAAACTGGGAGTGAAGTTGAGCATGGGAAGAAAGCAGGAGTGGGAGAAAGGTGTTTTAAGATCTGTTCTTATTTCCTATTATTCTACTCTGATGTTAAGTGGCAATAAACTAAATTGTTATTATATTATTTTTTCCTAAGTTAAGTCTGGTTTGCCTGTGACAGTAATGGCTGGGAGAGATACCTGTCCTTTTCTTGACCTTGAGCCTTCTATCTTATTTTTCTCGCCTGTTCAGTTGAGGAGGTGTTTGGTGGTCACAGGGTGTCCAGCCAAAGTTAACCACCCCACACAGAAAGATCTATCTGGCTGTACAGGAAACCTGAAAACACAGACTTTAAAATGAAGGAGTCCAAGAACTCGCTCAGCTTAATCTATCATTATGATTTGTTCAAAAAGCCTCACAACTCCTTGGGGAACAATTCAAGCAGAAATATATCAGACCAAAGAGATAAGTATGTTTCAAAATCAGCCAGAAAAAGTATATGAAAAGGACAAAGATTAACTTAGCCAGTTAGGAGGTATGTGCATGGCTAAGCATACATAGCCAAGGAAAGGCTGCGTGGATCCCTGTGTACCATTAAACAAAGACTTAATTTTGCTAACAGAAGTCCTTGTTCTGCCTCAAACAGGAAATCATTCGGAAAAATGCCCCTCATGCCTTGTCACAGAGAACATGATAAACAATTGCAATAGTTTTCTATCATTTAAGATACCACTACATTCCCAGCAAATAGAATTACTGTCCAACCAACCCTTCTAATTTGTGGTCAGCTATTTCACCATCCTTACCCACTATTTTCTTATGTGCCTCGTGTTTTGTTCCCTGCCTTCCAATGGTGATTCATCAGCAGGCTTCCTGAGCCTAACACAAGCTGTCTTGCAGCAGTGTGGCTTCATGCACCATCCTGTATGAACCTACCTGAAGGATCTGCTGCTCCAGCTGTGAGTTGCCTTTGCATAGGTTCATTATGTGTTGCAACAATAACTTCGTACTCTCTGTTTTCCCTGCACCACTCTCTCCACTGCCAAGAAAAAGCAAAGCAAAGCAGTTGTAAAGTGCAGTTGTTCTGTCCCTTATGTCTTATTGCCCCATCACTTCAGAGTGTTCTCCTGTCCAAGGGTTCCACAACTTTTGCAGCTGAACTGCACATGTGAGTACAAACTCACACCATAGTTCTACACAGCAGGTCCCACAAGGTCTTAATCCCTTCCCAGGGGAAATTTTTCCCATCTGAAAGGGAATACAGATATACCCCAAGCCATCACTTTTGAATGGGGGGCACCTTGCAGACCATTTTCTCTGCTTCTTTAAGAAAAAGATGTATCTAACTCTTGGAAAGCAACCTCCTTCAAAAGCAATCACATGCATCTAATTCCCCCATATGCCGGAGTTGACAGCTTCCTCTTTCTTCAATGACATTTGCCCCATCCATCTGATATCCACAACCAAGTACTGCCCCTGAGGTCCTGCAGCAATCTCAAATCTCAGGCACTTCACACATTGACATGGCTCAGCTGGTTGAGATGCAGGCACACAGCTGCAGAGCTGCCTGCACAACCATAGTGGTGCACGTCACTCTGTTGTCACATGTGCCCAGCACCTCCGCCTCCAAGTCAAACAACAGCACTTGGAAAGCAGAGTTTCCCCTGTCCTGGAAGGGGGAATGCACAATCAGTGAGACAACGTGCCCTTGACTGACAACTCATACCTGCAGAGAACCTCAGCATGTATGCACAGAAACAACCCCAGCACAAGAGGAAATGCTGAAGATACACTTGAGGGCAGGTGTCTGTTTCTACATCTGACCTTTGAGCATCTGGTGTGGCTTTACTGGTTTGTAGCTCCCAGTGACTCTGTGCTTGGGATCAAATACGGTTCTAAATACTTCAAATACCACAGATACTTGATGTCAATCACCATTCAGATATGCACAAACAAAATAAGACCATTTTGCCAGTTGAGAACATGCCATGCAGACAGTGCCTCTGCTCAGTGTATAAGATGTTTTGTTGTTTTCAGTGACTTCCTTATTCTGCAAAAACACTACCAGTCAGCACTTCCATGGTTCAAGCTTGTCCTTGTAGTCTCCATCAAACACAACAGCTTTTCCAGGTCCTGCAAACACTATCCAGCTACAGGTGTTTACTGTCCCTGGCAGTGAAGAAAAGCAAAGTGATCTCAAAGAGACCAAAGTACTTTATCACAGCATACCCAGGCTGTGACTAACCTCCAGTGGAATTGGGAAGGCAAGAGGAGACAGAAGAATTTGCACCACAGGACAACTTGATTGCAATGAGCATTTGTCACCTGGGGGGCAGCAGCTGTATTTAACGTCTACCTCTGAAACACACCCTCCTGATCTCCCAGACTAAGCTGGGGAGACCAAAGAGACCACAGAGAGTAGCAGAGCCTGGTGCATCCATTTGTTGTCTGATGAGCTGTGGTCTAACAGGAATGACTTCCTCTTCCCTCTCCACCCCAACTTTGCTCATGCCAGGTAATCTCATTAATGAGTGTTTCACAACTCGCCAAGAAAGCAAAACCATGAACTTCTGTGATAGTAACATGCAAACCAGTTAATAGGGTTAACAGACACACAAGACACACAACCTGTGCCAGATGCACAGGCTGCTCAGACTCTCATCTCTTGAGACCACAAACTGCTGTTGGAAAGCAATCAGAGAAGGAAAGTGTAACCTAGGGGTATTACACTTTCTCCTCTTCCATCTCTCAAGACAAATACTGATTGTTACCCACAGGTTACACTTTCTCCTCTTCCATCTCTCAAGACAAATACTGATTGTTACCCACAGGTTACACTTTCCCACAGGTTACACTTTCTCCTTTTCCATCTCCCAAGACAAATACTATGATTGCTCTCCATCCCTAAAAACCCTACCAGAAGCACCTCTTCTACCTGCTGACTCCGTGGCCACCACTTCATGAGAGCACTTCATGGAAAGCGCAGGCACCGATGGCCTGCAGGCAAGAGAAATGAGTGGTGCCCAAGTGACCTCGAGGTCAGCTCCCAACCCCCCCACCACATTCAACAGGTCATTTCCACACCACACAACTGAAAATACTAACAAAATGCTCAGGAGGCCAATATAAAGAAGGGAATATTAACTGAAACAAGCTGGCAATTACCATTTAAACAGACCTGACATTTAAACTGCTCTTTACAACAACCAGAACAGGCAGTTAGCATTTTGAGGCTTTCTCCTCCATGCTGTTTGAGGCTTTCTCTGCTGGTTGATAATGTTTGAGGCTTTCTCTGTTAGCTGATGCTATCTCCTGCCCTGCACAGTTTCAGCAGAACAAAAGTGACATCATGGAGTGAAATGCTCCTGACACTGGTATGCTCTTTGGCTACAAGAACCCACTTTTTTTTTTCCTCCTTCTCGTGCACAGGACTGCTCATAAAAACAAGATTTTCCCTGACCAGATTCCCAAAGGTCCTAGGGCAAAAAAAAGTTTCTGTATTAAGTTCTCCTGCTCTTTGGTTATATATGGGAAGCTCCACTTTGGGAAAACAGTTTCTTTTCATTACGCATGACCTTTATTACAGCAGTTACAGTGGGAGTTGCTTTGCTAAAGAGCACCCTATGGATTTCCCCAGAGCTAATAAATCTTTCCAGTGACACATCCCTCCAGAAGCAAACCCAACATACTCAGCTGTGTTAGAAGCATCAGCAGCTGAGCTGCTCCACAGAAGCCAGCTTTCCCACACATTTGCAACCTCCTGTATGGAAACGGGATGGGTTTGGTGTGTTTCAACCACAACTGGGTTTTGACTTGCCAGTGGCACGAGAGATGAGCTTCACCTCCAGCTTCATTGCAGAGAACCCAGTAAGAACTTGGCGGCCACCACTGGCCTCAACCTCAGCTCACAACTCGGCCTGGCTCCATCGAGCCCCAAGCCCACCATGCTGCCTGCTTGCCCCTCACCTGATGACGATGCACTGGCTGCGGGGCCCGCTGCCCCGGTGACCCAGCATGGCATGGTAAGCCCGGCTGGCCACGGCGAAGATGTGGGGCGGCAGCGTGCTGGTCTCATGGCACAGGTACTGCTCGGAGACCTGCGGGGAAGCGGTGGCAGGCATGAGGTAAAGGGGCTGGAAGGCAGCAGGGGTCCGCAATGGCGGGCCGTGGTGGGGGCTCACCTCTCTCCCGTACAGCGGCAGCGGTTGGAAAGGGTTCATGGCAATGAGGATGTCCCCGACATCGGTCTGGAGGAGGGGGAGAGCCCGTCAGCCGAGCGCCCGCCGCCGCCCCCCGCCCCGGCCCCCGGCCCCCGGCACTCACATAGACCTGCTGCCGCAGGAACCGCTCCCGCAGCCCGCCCAACAGCGCCGCCTCGTCCAGCTCCGCCAGCGCCGCCAGATCCCCGCCTAACCCGGCGCCCGGGCACCGCTCCCCGCACGACACCATGCTGCCCCGAGCCCCGCCGCCGCGCCGCGCCGCCGAAAACCCTCCCGGCCCGGCAGGGACCGCCCCGGGACCGCCCAACGGGGCGGGGCCGCCATTTGAACGCGGGGCGGTGGCAGCGGCGACCTGAAGGTAACGGGTGAGCTGGGTTGAGGTGGTGGTGGGTCTCGTTGTGGGCTTCGTTCGCCCCTCCGGGAGGTCCTGCCTCAGATCCGGGGCAAAGGCTGCCCTGGCGCGGTGGTGAGGGGCACCTCAGCGGGAAGGCCGCCCTGAGGCGGTGGTGACCCCGCTTAAAGCAGGCAGGAAAGGGGGAGGACGGCCCCGCGGCCTCTCTCGCATGGCCGCCGGCCCCAAAGGCGGGCTGTGGAGCTGCCCCATGGGGTGGGTGATGCTTCCAACACACCAAGAGTGGCTGTGCTGCCGTAATAAAAGGAGGGCTTTGGACGGTATTAACATTCTGGTTTTAATACTGGAAATAGAATCCTAGAATGATTTGATTTGGGAGCTTAAAGTTCATCCCCTTCCAACCCCCTGTCACAGGCAGGGACACCTTCCCCTAGGGCAGGTTGCTCCAAGCCCTGTCTAACCTGGCCTTGAACACTGCCAGGGATGGGGCAGCCACAGCTTCTCTGGGCACCCTGTGCCAGCACCTCAGCACCCTCATAGTGAAGAACTTCTTCATTATATCCAATCTAAACTTCCCCTGTTTAAGTTTTAACCCGTTACCCCTTGTCCTATCACTACAGTCCCTAATGAAGAGTCCATCCCCAGCATCCCTATAGGCCCCTTTCAGATACTGGAAGGCTGCTATGAGGTCTCCATGCAGTCTTCTCCAGGCTGAACAGCCCCAGCTTTCTCAGCCTGTCTCTGTATGGGAGGTGCTCCAGTCCCCTGATCATCCTCGTGGCCTCCTCTGGACTTGCTCCAAGTCCTTGTGTTGGGGACACCAGAACTGTACACAGTGCTCCAAGCATAGGGAATATTGCTAATGGGGCACTGTAGGGTAGTTAATTGTATAGGAAGCATTCAGTGGTTTCTATTCCAAGTCTGAGAATGGAGAAGCAGGCTGGAATGCTGCTGTCCCTGTAGTATTTTCTAATCTACTCACGGGCTTCAGACTAAATGTAATACATTTTAGAATAGCGGGTGCGGTTGTGCTTCATTATGTGAGCAGGAGACAGTCAAACCTGGTGTATTTATTTACATATATATAAAAATATGTGTGTGTGTGCATTTATTTATTTATTTATTTTAATTATTATTTTTTAAAAGAAATTTGGCCTCAAAATGAAAATAATGTCTGCAACCTACCCTGGCTAAAGGTGCTCTGTGAGTGGTAGCTTTTTAGTTTGTCGCTGGTGAGTACTTCTGCATGCTCTCACTAAGCTCTGGTGTGGTATTACCTGCAGGGGTGCTGGGTCTGCCCTGTTTGACCGAGACATGGCCTTAGCTAGGCCTGTGGTTGTGTCATGAATGAATCTGAGCATAAACCTCTAGAGAACCTTCTGCTGCTATAAAATGCTGCCTATGCCCCTCGCTATCCAGACTTCTGCTCATTAAACAAGTCTTGATATTCATTTGATGTGAAACTTGTTTCAGGCATTTGTTTAGGTATCAAATGTCTCTGGAAGGCTGTATTTGACAAATTTCCTTCCCTAAGGTGACACATCTTCATGTATTGGTATATCTCATCCACACAGGGATGAACTTTAGTGGAGGTAGTTCAGCTTCCAGAGAAACTCCAGGCTCCGTGCCATGGCGAGTGTGTAACAACCTGCGCTGCCTTTTGATCAAAAGGCAGAGCAATATTTAACTGGTGCTGAGCTAACACATGCGTCTTTCTCTGAGGAGGGGCAGTAAAAGAGGGAGTGTTTTACTCTGTAACAAAACATGATGCTCTTGCAGAAGAGAAGAGCAGCAGTGAAACTGGTCACTAAGTGGATAGTGTGATTCACAGCAGTTACTGAGTTTCTCTCATCTCAAACCACAAAATACTGTTAGAAAATGACAATGCAAACCACTTGTTTCTTGGAAACCTCCATGGGAAAAAAAGCAAGAATGTGCTCTTTCTTTCTGTTTCCTCCCCAAGACAAATCTTATGGCTGCTTTCTGCTCCTACCCACAGTACTTCTTCCACCCACTGACTTCCTTGGGCTTACAGCGAATTTTGCACAAATAATGGGGCAAAGCACAGGAAGCAGTGGTTTGTGAGTGGGATTGCGTGCTTGAGAGTTATTCATAGACATATTGTAATGTACTGCTTTTGCTTTCATGGTTTGGTCTTTCTTACACTGCTCCTCTGGTTGATGTACCTGTGGGTAGGAGTGCAGAAGGAAACTGTTAATAACGGTTGCTCACAATTAACTTCCTTTTTTTTTCGTAATAAAGTGCAGAGTTTGTAGCTCAGAATCCTACCCTGCACCATAAGTTATTCTTTTGTTGTTTGTCCATCTCTCTTGGCTCTTCAGGGTCAGTTACCTTTCTGTATATCACCCCTGAGGTTGTCATGAGTGACTCGCCCCTGCTGTTTATGGCTGGAGCAAACACTGTGGAAGAGCAGAGGGCTCGCTGGGAGAGGAAGCGCAGCCGGACAGCCAAGGAGCTGCTGGAAACTGAACACAGATACCTTGAACAGCTGGATTTGGTGGTCACAGTAAGTATTTTAGTCCCTTCTGATACATGGGTTCCTTCAGGCAGCATGTTCTTATTTGTGTTGTCATGGGGAAGGTCAAGAGCAAGACTTTGAGACATTTCTACTGCATGGGACAACATGGGGCTGAAAGTTGGAGTTTTTTGTTGTTTCTCTTTTACCTCCTATGTAACATCTAGTAGCTCAGGGTACTAGCCCCATGGCTTTGGTCTGTACACAGACACAAATCTTCTAAGTTTTGACTGTACAGGGGACTCGTCTTAGGATGCCTGAGGTGTATGAAATGCAGGTGCACAGACAAGACAAAGACTGATAATGAACAACGTGGTGAAAACTGGATGTGTCTAGGAATACTGAAATAGACTCTTATTAGTGCTATAGTACTGTTCCACATGTTTACAGTTATGGTCAAATTTACCAAGAAGGATTACATCTGATGACAGAGATCTTAGGTAGGATTCACAATATTCAGTTTCCTTTCGAGCTAGAGAGCGTGCAGGCTGCAGCTTAGGCTTCTGCTGTGTACCATGAATAACATTTGAGGGACCTGTGAATTCTACCTGTTTGAAATTCTTTCTTTTCCCGTACTTAGTTTTTTGTGACGATTTTAAAGGCCAAAGGGACACTGAAACCTGCTGTGTTGGAAACCATATTTGGACCCCTGGAATCCATATGTTCGGCCAGCCAGTAAGTGAACACACTGATGTGATTCCTGTAATTATATGGGGAGGACCCTATATTGATGAGAAAGGAAGATTTCAGGAAATAAAGCTACCATCTTGTAAAACAGGCATTCACTTATAGCATTGCTAGCCTTCGTGGCACTTGCAGGTGTACCCAGGAAGCTGCTGATCTGTGTCCACATATCTGGATGTCCAGTTGCTCTCTGTATAATGGTTTAAACCCAGTAAGTCTGCTCTGTATTATTTTTAAGTGACATTTTCTGTAGTTTACTCTGTGACCACCAAGCATGTATTTGGCACATAAACCAAGGTGGAGGCTGACAAAGAAAGGTCAGAACAGAAGTGAACCAGAGGGAGCTGTGAAAACACCATCAGTAGTGTACCCCTCATGGGCTCTCATTGCTCCTTGTGCAGTGTTCTGGCACTTCATCTGGAGAGAGGGAATCTGGGACCAGGACTGGAAAATTTCTGTCAGAATCTGGAACTTTATGGACACTACATTGAGAATTTGGAGCAGGCAAATAAAACTTTGAAGGTAAATATCTTCTTTATTTTTCACGTACTTTCTTCCCTCTGTCCATTCTGTGAAACAGCTATATCCTTCCCTTTTTCTTCTGTTTCTAGAGTGAGCAGCTTTCTTTCCTTTTTCTGGAGTGCTGCTATTTTTCTCAGTCTTTCTTCCATAATAGAATGGTGAAAACTCTCCTGATTTAGAACTTCAAATTCTTGAATCTTTTTTAGATGTCTATGAACATCAGTGCAAACACTGAGCCCACCTTTCTCAGAGTTCTGTATTTAGCCCCACTTTTCCTTGACTGTCAAACCTGGAGAGTTTGCAGTGGGAACACTACAGGACAGTGATCTCTTTCTGGAGAATTATCAGGTCTTCTAGCCTTTCCCACTACCATTAACTGTATCCTAACAGTGGGATTTCCTTTTCCTTTAATTTTTTTTCTATGGTAGAAGAAAAAAATTCCTTCCCACTTACCTTTCCAAATACAACCTGTCATTCAAGAGGTTTCAGAAGGATGTATTTTTATTTCAAAGTCCTGACAGCTATATCTGGAATTAATTTCTTTGTCTGTCATTGTTCCTAGCTGCAGTATGTACTGGGATGTTTCCCTTCTGTCTGTTCGCATGCATAAATTCCCACTTTTGATTTCTCAAGAGAAAAGGCCATTTTGGATACTTGCCTTTAGGTGATGGGGAGCAAAGATTGCTTTGTCTTGAAAGGAATGGCAGAACCACAGGCATACTCCTTGTTTTCCTATCTGAGTCAACCTTCCCTTTTTCTTTATTTCCATTTCCTGAGTATACTAGCAGTGCATGTATTCTTAGCAAATGCAGCAGGCTTATACTGCCATGCATATATGAAAAGGGGATATCACTTCAACTACCTACTGGAAATGGTGGCCAGAGGAAGGGAACGGCTTGCACATGGCCACAAAATAAGTTGTTGCTGCTTCTGTCTCGTACTGGAGTTCTAAACTCTAACAGTTCCTAGCTCTGGTGCATAGAGCACATAATTCTCTTTGTAGTCTGAAAGCTATATCCCTTTCATGCCGCACACAGGAGCAATTGAGGAAAAATAAGTCATTCCGACGGTTTAAGAAACTCCAAGAAGCTCGACCTCAGTTTCAAGGGAGGAGGTTGGAGGATCTGCTTCCCTTGCCCATGCAGAGGCTGCACCAGTAAGTAAACAATTCTGAGTCTTCAAGATGTTAGTATAAGGAAGGAAAAGGGAACGTAACAGTATATTGGTTGCTGTGAGAGGTGAAGTTGCTTAATGTGTCTCAAAATCCGAGCATACAGACAGCAATAAAACAGACCTGAAGACATGCCTGTAAAGTGGAGTCAGTATACATGGAAGGGAGATGACATAGAGAGGTAGCTGCATTCAGTGCTGGCTCCAAAGCCATTCATCTGGCTCTTGGGTAGAAATGAAATGGAGGCTTTCTATCATCTTGATAAGCTACTGAATTAGGCCCTGAACAAAGGCAAGCTTCTAAAGTGCTGCAGAAGTAGTGCTCTTACTCTGCTTTTGTGTGGGTTGCTGACCTGAAACTTGTGACTTCTCCCTTGTAAATTGTTACTTTTGGAGAGAGGTAAGATTAATGAGCTAAACAAGGAAGCTTTTTTCCCCTCCCTGGTTTTCAGGACCGTATGCTTTCCTCAAATTTGGTACCTATTGCAGTTATCTGAGCTTGGACAGACCCAGCCTTGATTGCTATATTCCGCCTCTTGAGGCATCATCTCCACTTTGAAGAGGCAAGCTGCCTGCACAAGGGTAGTGCTGCATGCATTCAAGGACAGCTCTTTCTTAGTGAGAGTATGAGTTGTACAGAGCAAAGGTAGTTTCCTGGCAACCCAGCTGCTGCTACTATAGATCAAGTAGCTGCTCTTAAGCATGGCCTTAGCTGCACTAAAGCAAAATTGAGAGGCTGAGAGCCTCATTTCTTTGAAAATAATTAGGAGTGAGCGTACAACAGTCCTTCAAGTAGCTTTACGCAACCTTTTTAATCAGCTTGGCAGATACAAATGCTGCCTTTTGCTTTTCCTGTAATTCTTTGGAACCTTCCTTTAATTTGTAAAATAGCAGGATGTTTGTTGCTGTTCAACTGTTTGGAAAAATTACGGCTTTTTAACAGAAGGTCTAATTTTTTCATTAATCAACTCTTGTGTTCAAGTGTTTTTGAAACCCTGTTACATATACTGCAGGTCATATGAGTTCTGCCAGTTCATGAATCTATTCAATGTGATATTTCTTCTGTCAGTTCAGACTGAAAATAACTTGACTTTTATTGAGAGAAAGCATTTGGAGGGATCTGATGCCTTCTGGTAAAGACTGGAGAGGAAAAAAGAAAAAGGCAGCTCCTAGTTCGTATAGAAATGCCTTTATATTCTTCTGTGGGCAGGAATCATGGTATGAATGCTACTATTCAGACATTAAAGAAAACTAGTTCAAAGGGAAAATTGACAGTTATTGAAGGCATTTTTATGTGAATTCTAAGAAAGTCTCATGAACTTCAATAATATGTGAGGTTGCTTTTATCAGATTCCCAGGAAATGCCTAAGGTTGCAAACGTATAAAATGCTTTAGTTAATTTAGTTGATAACTTTGAAGATGAAATGAACGTAGTTGAAGAATTGTGACCAAATACTGGTTAGAGGTGTGTACTCCATCTCCTGGGGGAGGGTTGTGCATCATTCTGTCACTAATAGGAGACACTGGTGATGCTGGTATCTTTAGGTGATACAAACCTGCTTTCTCTCTCTTAGGTACAAGCACTTCCTCAGAGACTTGCTGGAGAACACCAACCCAGACATCCCTGAGTACCAGAAACTTGCAAGTATGATTCTACCTATAGATACTAGCACTTTGATCTGCGTTAGCCTCCTTGCTAATACTTGAATTCTCATCTTCTGTCTACTTCCACAGGAAGAAAAATCTTCCTCTCTCTGGGATTCTAATGAGTTACTATTTCCCTTCTCCATTTTAATCAAGGTGTCCCTGAGGAGGTGTCCCATTGGGAATGAAAGTGTAGTGTAACTGACTGCGTTAAGTGGCCTATCAGTTAGGTCAGAGAAATGGCAGGTCTTTTTTTAACAGTGAGGGTGGTGAGACACAGGAATCTAGGGACCCTTTGGATTTCCAATTACTGGAAGTGTTCAAAGTCAGGTAGGACGGGGCTGTGAGCAACCTGATGTTGTGAGAAATGTTTCTGCCCATCACAGGGCATTTGGACTAGATGAATTTTAAAACTTCCTTCCAACCCCAACCACTTTGTGAATCTTGGGCATGTGCCTTGATTTTCTATAATAGTTTGTGACCTTCATGCTATATTTACTAGGAGTTAACACCACTTATGGTCATTTTTCCTGTTTCTGCTTCCAAATCCAGGAAATTATTAATCTGCCTAATGTTTCATTGTCAAATAAATATCGGGTTTTTTTAGAACTGCAGAATTGTTAGTGGGAGAGAGGCCTCTGGAGGTCATCTAGTCCAATTCTCTTGCTGAAATTACTGAATAAATTTATTGTTGATACTTGGTTTACAACATTTGCTTCTTAATTTCACTTGATCTTTTCACAGCAAGATAGATAAGCAGTAATATGTACTCACTTGTGATAACCTCAGAATATGCTGCTGTAATTTCAGAGGCCTTGAAATCTGTTTCGGAGGTATCTCAGTGGGTACAAGACATCATTCATAAGAGAGAGAACTCATTGCAGCTACTTCGCGTTCAGAAACTGCTGAAAGGACAGAAGATACAGATTTTGACTCCAGGTGGGACTTACTGTTTTGATGCTGCCAAGAGAGAGATATGTTTGCCTTCATGCCTGACTCAACTCATATTAACCAGCTTTACCCTTTTACACAAATTCCATAGATAGGGGATGAAGGAATATAACTAATAATTCAAGCGCTTTTTTTCAAAGTTAGCAATTTTTGAGTAAGGATAAGCAGCAGCTTAATTGCCTGACATTCAGCTAGGGGGTGCTGATAATATATAGTTAGAAAGTTTGTAACAGGACTCTAAGGAGATCAGGAGTGTAAGTCCTGGATGAGAATGAAAAACACACGTTAAATGATTTTTGAAGAGTGTAAGAAGTGGTGGTGCCCCTACTCCACAGCATGAGCCGTAGCTTCATGAGCGTCAAGAGCCCAAGGACTTTGGTGGTTTTTACCTTAAGGCACAAGCTTCATAGACTTCTGTTCAAATGCTTCACATGAAGAATCTTCTTTTGTCTACAGGGTTAAGCTGTGCCTAAAGTCAGATTGTTTGTGTTAATAGCTGAGTAAGTGATACCTAATTGGTTAACAAGTTTCTTTATGACCTCTTGTGCAACTGGCTGCTCTTCATGCCCAGAGCACACTCCAAGCTACTTACAAAATATTGTGAGAAATGTGCCCGGTCTGGGCAATTATGAAATGGTGACTTGGTGCTTTGCCAGTTCTCTCAGGAAACACTGCTATTGCAGAGGTCTTCTAGAAAGAGTGCCGCAGCTGGACAGGAGTGTTAACGTCACTGTGTGTAAAGATCTCTAAGGCACACCTCCAGGTAGTTGTGAATGTGGTTTTAATTCATACATGTGGATTTCTGCATGAAGACATCCACTAGTGGGATGGGTAAGACAATCAGAAAGGTGAAAGTAAGCAAATGTGTGGATTGAGATAAAAGTAGTTCAACAGATAAAGCAAAAGCCACTTGCACAAGTAAAGCAAAATAAGGAATTAATTCACCACTTCCCATCAGCAGGCAGGCATTCAGCCATCCCCAGGAAAGCAGGGGCCCATCATGTATAGTGGTTACTTGGGAAGACAAAATTCCACCACTCCAAACATCCGCACTTTCTTCTCTTTTCCCCAGCTCTTTATGCTGAGCATGACATCATAAGGTATGGAATGTCCCTTGGGTCAGCTGGGGTCAGCTGTCCTGGCTGTGTCCCCTTCCAACTCTTTGTTCACCCTCACCCTTCTCACTGGTGGGGTGGGGTGAGGAGCAGAACAAAACCTTCATGCTGAGCAGTGCTTACCCAGCAATAACCAAAACATGCCTGTATTGTAAATGCTGTTTTCAGCATAAATCCAAGACAGCCCCATGCCAGCTGCTATTTGAAGAAAATTAACTATCCCAGCCAAACCAGCATGGATAGAATAAGAGGATATTTATCAGAGGTTATCATTCTCAAAGATGCTTAGTCAATGGGCAGATTGATTTACAATTCTTCTCGTTCTGCTCGGAATCCTTTTGGTGATGCTAGCTGAAAGCGAGCTAATACAGGTCTGCTGTGCTTATACTGGGCATGAGCATGTGTGTGGGTGCCTGTGCACATCGGGGTAGTGCTTAAGTAAAAAGGTATATCACTTATCCTGAATGACAGAACTCATAAGATAACCTATAACAAAATACCCAACACCATAACAGTATAGCTAGACCAGAGGTGGCCATCATTTGAAAGTCCACATTTTTCTTTGTCCCTGACTATTGTGAGATGTGTAGTAAGGCAAGTATTGAGGGTCTATAGACACCTTTCCATTATCTGGGACAGAGAATTGTGATGGCTGTGTTTTCCATTAGCTGGGGTAAAATAGGTATTATTGGATGTAAGAAGCAGAAGAGTAAGAGGCAGCTGGGGCTTGGTAGTTTTGGCTCAGCTTTCAAGAAGCAAGCTAGCTTTTACCAACTGTTACCATTTCATCCTGTTACTAGGACAGAAGAGGTGAGAAAACAATGCTATAGATTCAGATAAAAGGGGTGGCTTTGGAGTTAAGTGTCTACCATTTCACCGTGTCTCTGAGACATACTGCTCCTAGTGAAAAGAGATCCCATTCCCTTCCCCTCCCCTCCCCTCCCCTCCCCTCCCCTCCCCTCCCCTCTCCCCTTTCCTTCCACATGCAGAGCAAACACAGTCTTAGCCAGAACCTCCTCCTTAACATAGCACACTGTTCTGTTATCCCTAGCTTCCACAGGGATATTTCGTTTCCCTCCTTTCAGAAGAATTTCTTAAATTGTGTGCCCCTAGGATTTCTAAGCATGAGTCTGTATCTCAAGACTTCCAACACATACCAGCTCAGACTGTTTGCCAGGGAGTCTGATCATAATCTAGGTTGAAGGAAACAGTTCCTAGTCCAGCACTATGCGGCTAACACCTTCCTTCCATTTGTTTTTTAAACGTGGACTGATTACTGCACCTCACCTTTCTCAGTTTCTCATTCATATAAGAGGAGTGGTTCCTGTGGAGTAAGCTAAGCAGGAATTGACTTGCCTCTGTGTCCTGGGGCTGTAGGATACTAAGACAAAATCCGTAACTGAAACAAAATTGTGTTGTTTTCTAAAGGTACCTCTTAGCTCAGCCAGAAGATGAGGCCCAGAAAACAGTGGCTGAAATTCCCTGTCAGGTGTTTTCCAGACTAGGCCAGATGGCAATACCTTATTATTATGGCTAAAGATTTTTAGAAATATTCTTACTGACAGGTGTCTTTGTAATTCCCTTAAGTTAATGGCTGTCTTGTACAATAATCCTCCTCACTAGAGGCACTGCTTTAATTATTCCGTGTTCTGTAGATGCCATTTTTGTATCTTACAAAATTGCTGCTTAAACCTAGGTTTATCAAACAGTTTTGACTTTTTCCCCTGTCAATTTATCTGCCTTTTGTTTTAATGCAAATCATTTCATGGGTAGATGACTCTTCTAAGATGGCTTGTGTTAATTTATGGCATATGTTAATTTAAAGGCATGCATACCGTTTCAGACTCTGTTTTTGTTCTGGTCTCTTTACACAGGCTTGCATATCATAATTCATCTTAATTAACACAGACATAACTTCAGCCTGCTCCTCCCATACTAAAAGTTTTGGGATGGTGACTGCTTCCACATGGGTGTTGTCAGTTGCCATAGTTGATACTCAGCGCCTTCTAGTGGCTGAAATTGTTGTGGAACCTGGTAACCTACAACGATAGCTCATTATATTCCTGTTTGTCTCATTACATTAGATTTTTTGCCCTTTTTTCTGAGAACTGTTTTCTGTTTTTATTTCCCCCACATGCCTAGGGCGCTGGTATGTCCGGGAAGGCTGGCTTTTGGTGGTGCCCTCGAAGGGAGAAGAACTGAAGCGCAGGATGTTCTTCCTCTTTTCTGATATCTTCATTTCAACAAAACCCTGTCACCCACTGCACCCACTGAATTCAAACAAACTGGCATGCCAGGCTGTCTACCCGCTTCACCAGTGTGTGGTGGATAAGGTGTTTGGCCACACACAGAGCCAGGGAGGGCTCCTCAGTGTAAGTATGCTTCTGCCTAGCAGAAACATTCATGGACTCAGGCATGCAAGGTAGGTTTCTAGCTGTTTCAGCAGCAGCACTGAGATGAAGAGGGTGGTGACAACGGTAAATGCAGTGAACTAGTTTGGGTTAGGGCAGCTCTTCTCTCTTGGGTGATGTAGGTCTTTCCCTTCATGGCATAGGCCCTCCTGAGCACTCTGGGGTACAGATTGCTGGTTAGTTCACTTAGGTAGGGTGAGGAGGTCTGATAAGACTCTGAGGTGCCCTCATCAGAACCACATTTTGGGGAGACAGCCCCTCAGTCAACATGACAATGAATATGTAGCATTATATATATTGACTGTGAAGAGAATGCAAAAAGATGTGGGTATTAGCTCAACAGATATTGCTTGTGCATCTAACTCCGAGGACTGCAGGGTCTTTGACTGGGACTGATGCCTTGGGTAAGGGTTTCCAGGTGAGGTCCTCCTGAGTTACAGTATCTGGGGGCTGTTGTTACCTCATTCCTTGTGAGCTATGACAAGGAAGACAGCAGGCAGGCTGTGATCTGTACATGGTGGTATTGGAAGGACCCCTAGGGGCAGCTTGGAATACGACAGAAAACTGGATAAATAGCTGCTAAGAGCTATATGCCCACTTCCTAAGTCAAGATCAGCTGTCGCCTGTGGCTGCAAGGAACGCACAAGGCTGGGAATGGCTCTGTCCTGTGCAGTGTCTGGCCTCTTCCAGTACCAATGATAATTCTTCTATCTGGGAAAGAAGATGGGGGAATCAACATGCAGGGCTGAGTTGAATTCAGTGCCGATAGCTCTGTTTTTGTCAGAGCTGCTGCCTTGGTAAGGAATGACACAGGGTGACACCAGATTCTGTTTGCCTTTCAGCTTTCCTTTCCACACAAGACACTGTTGTTGATGTCCAGTGACCAACAAGACATTAATGACTGGTATCAGAGTCTTGCAGCTGCAGTCAGGTAGGGCTCTATTTTCCAAATGAGAAAGGGGCTGAGGGAAGGGGGTGAAACATAAAAATGGTCATATGGACTTGTGTATTTGCATGGTTATATGTACATTATATGGTTATGAGGCTGACAGAGGAGACCTGGCTCTGGCAGCTAGGATCCGAGAGAATACTGGGAACAGATTCCATGTATGAACAGTGAACTTCCCCTTTGTTTTTCCTCTACAGACAGCTGAAAGCCTGACCCATTCGAGTAGCAGACTGGCAGGACAGTCACCTCTCTTTGTAGAAACCTACACAATCTTAGCAAATGTTCAAGGACATATACTAAGAGAATGCATTTATAGGGACTACCACTGTGCTTGTGAGACTGAATGAATGCTTTGTCAGCTGTCCTAATCTTAACACAGATACTGCAAAAAAGAGGTATGCACACTGAGGATTTGTATATAAAAAAATCTATGTCATGACTTTTCCCCAACTTAGCTTACAAGCTTCTAGCTTTTCTATGCTTTTTTTTTCCCCCCACCCCTCTTACATTACTAATTTAAGGACAAGTGTGAGAAAGTCTGACTTGCTTTCCCTCATTAAATGTTTTTATCCGTGTTTCTAAATCAGTGTTGTCACATTTGTCTACATATATTTCTACCTGCTCTTGCTACTGGGTCCTTTGACCAAAAGGGATGTTCTGGAAAATGGTAACTTATTGGGCTCCACACTGTATTTTCAGCTAGTACTAGAGGGCCACAGCCATCTTCCTCCCTTGACATATTTTCATCATTCACACCCTTGAGTTTTCTACCAAAACTCTTTCACAGTTATTGTCTCTCCTCCTCTAAGAAAGGAGGCAGATAAAGGGAAGATCATTCAGTGGTTAAAATCCTACCTCTCAGATTCTCATCAGTCCCACAGAAAAGTTAATCTGCTGAACTATCTGAAATAAACTGGTAGATAACATACATGTAGGTTAATCAAACAGCATTCACACTTCTAATCTGAATTCTGAGAAATTATGCAGATGAAACAGCACTTGCCTTTGTCCTCCCTGGGATGCAGTAGCCTTGAAATGCTAAAATGAAAAGCTCAAGCAGCACCTCTGCTTCTGAAGCATGCAGAAAATCTGCAGGAGGCTACAGTCAGTACTCTGGGTCTTCAATAGCTGGTAATGTGCTAGGTAGGATTCAGCTTACGAGGCTGAAAAACCAATTTAAGGTAGAAATATATGTAAGGTATTCTTGAGTATTTTGTTAAAGCCTCAATACAGAACTGCGGTTGGTGTTGTGACCGATCGTGTTTAACATTGTGGTCTACAACATGGACAGTGGGATTAATGCATCCTCAGCTAGTTTGCTGATGACACCAAGCTGTGTGGTGCAGTTGACATGCTGGAGGGAATGGATGCCACCCAGAGGGATCCTGACAGGCTGGAAAGGTCCCAGTGCCACCCTCATAAAGGCCAAGTGCAAGGTCATGCACCTGGATTGGGGCAATCCCAAGCAGAAATTCAGGCTGGGTGAAGAATGGATTGAGAGCAGCCCCTGAGGAGAAGGACTTGGCGGTGTTGGACGATGAGAAGCTCAGCATGAGCCAGCTTCAGTGCGTGCTAGCAGCTCAGAAACCAACCGTATCCTGGGCTGCATCAAAAGCAGCACAACCAGCAGGTCAAAGGAAGTGATCCTGTCCCTCTACTCTGCTCTCATGCGACCCCACCTGCAGTCCTGCGTCCAGCCCTGAGGCCCCCAGCACAAGATGGACGTTGAGCTGTTGGAGCGAGTCTAGGAGAAGCCACAGAGATGCTCCAAGGGCTGAAGAACTTCTCTTGTGAATCAGTCTGAGAGAGTTGGGCTTTTTCGGCATGGAGAAGCGTCTAAGCGTCCTTCCAGCACCTAAACGGGGTCTACAAATCTGGAAATTGGCTTTTTAGAAGGGCATGTTGTGACAGGACAAGAGGGAACGGCTTTAAAACTGACACAGGGGAGATTTACATTAGATATGAGGGAAAAGTTCTTTACCATGAGAGTGGTGAGGCCCTGGCAGAGGTTGCCCAGAGAAGCTGTGGTTGCCCCATCCCTGACAGTGCTCAAGGCCAGGCTGGACAGGGCTTGGAGCAACCTCTTCTAGTGGAAGGTGTCCCTGCCCATGGCAGGGGGGGCGCTGGAATCAGGGGATCTTTAAGGTCCCTTCCAACCCAAACTATTCTATGACTTTGAATGATGTGGAAGCTCTGCAGCAGTAGAAGTTTGGCTCATCTTTTGAGTCATAACACATCTGTTCAAACAATTGCAAGGTGAGCAACTTCAAGGTCATTAGAAACATAAAGATTGAGGTCTGTCAGAGTATACTTCTACTAGTTTTAACCATTTTTTTCTGCTTCAACAGTACCACACACCTATTAGTTTCTCACTGGAATTCATTAAAACAGAAATGGTACTGTGTAATATAAGTGCCCTGATGGTTTTTGTCTTTCCATAGAGCTACCTTACTACACAGGATCACTCATTTGTCCTGTGAAACTCAACGAGGAAGGAACCCAACATGTTAGTGGTGTGAGGGTTTTTTTTGTGTGTTTTGTGCGTAGTTTCTTGGAGGGTTTTTCTGCAGAAAGTTACCAACTCATGTGCACAGGAATATAACCCAAACAGAAGAAAACCCACTTTTGAACAGAGTTTATTTACAGAGAGTGCATCAGCCATTAGGGCTCCCAGCTTTATTTCCTTCTCTTGCCAATACTATTCACACCATACGAAGCAGCAAGTACCTCATGCTTCCACCATGGCAACTCAAGGGTAGTAATCAATCTTCAGGACATCCTGCCTCCACACACTCTACGACGGCAACAGGCTGGTTGGCGCATGGGTTGCTGATGCCAAGCCCCATCCCTGTGCACCCAGGGGCAGAGGGGACTGCCTACACCGGGGTGCCCCCGGGGGCCTGTGGGGCTGCCGCCTGCTGCATGTCCTCCCTGTAGCCTTTCAGGAGCTGGTTGAGCAGCGTCTTCTCACTGTCGCGGCGCTGGCGGATGAGTGGTGGAAACGGGTTTCCCTTGAGCTCGATAACTGCCATTTTGGCACGGTCAAGGTTATCCCGGTTGGGGATATGCAGCATGCGGGTGTAGTTGCCGGAGTGGGGCTGGAACCGGGGTGCCAGCACCTTGAACAGCTTGTGGATGAGGTCCTTCTCCTGCGGGGCAGCACACTCAGCGCCAGCACCGCGGCTGGACGGGGCGAGGAGGGATGTGGGGTGGAAGGCGATAGGTACCTACCGTCAGCCAGAAGTCTGCCATGCGCATGGCGCGCTCGTTGGTGTCCCCCAGCTTGGCGTAGTCGATGAGCTGCGGGTGAGAACAGGCAGCGCCGTTAAGGTCCCTGGGCAGCCCCCCCAGCTCCGTTCCGCCCCGTCCCGTCCCCTCCGCTCACCTTCTCCGCGTAACCCCTCATCTCGTCGGCCCGCGCCCAGGGCGCCTCGATCCGTTCGTGCCGCACCAGCGCCGTCACCAAGTTGCGCAGGATGTCGAGGCGCGACCGTGGGCCGGATCCCAGCGGCCGGAACACGCGGCCATGCGAGATGGCGGCCGGCACCGACAGACGCATCCTGCGGCCCTCACGGTACCGCCCGGCCCGGCCCGGCGCGGCGCGGCGCGGCGCGGCCCGACTCGACTCTCTGCCGCGGGGGACCGTGGGACGCAGCACCCGGCAACCCCCGCGCTGCCGCGCTGCACGACGGGAGCTGTAGTTCTGTGGCGGCAGGGCGGTATCTCTGTTGCTGTCCTGAGGCGATGCGGGCAGCTCCGCGGCCAGGCCGTGCCGGCGGATGGGCACGGTGGGCTCTGAGGGGAGGAAGGAAGACAGCCGGTCTCCGTGATACCCCGCATCGCGGCTGTGATGGGGTGCAGAACACTGCCTTCATGGGGTCTTTGTCTTATTCCCTCCTTCACCCCAGTACCGGTGATGGGATGCCAGAGGAGCTTCAGACCCCTGTATCGCATCCCCATGCTGCGCAGGAGCTGTGTATACCGGCAGCATGGAATAAAGCTGGATCCCGCCTCATGAAGCCCTCCTAGGGTGCAGGAGCCACCGCATAATTGTGGAGGTGCGTGTCTGTCCTATTTACACAAACTAGCCTGTTCTGCAAGAGCTCATGTCCACATGAGGTTCAACAAGTGCAAAAGGTAAACCCCCAGTATGGATACAGGCTGGGGAGCAATGGGATTGAGAGCCCTGTGGAGAAGGACTTGGAGTACTGGTGAATGAAAGGTTTGGTATGAGCGGGCAACGTGCGCTTGCAGCCCAGAAGGCCAGTTGTATCTTTGGCTGCACCAAAGCAGCATGGCCAGGAGGTCACGGGAGGCGATTCTGCCCCTCTGCTCTGGTGAGACCCCACCTGTGTCCAGCTCTGCAGTCCTCAGTACAGGAAAGACATGGACCTGTTGGGAGAGGGTCCAGAGAAGGGCCACAGAAATGATCACAGGGTTGGAACACCTCTCCTATCAGCAAAGGCTGAGAGAGCTGGGCTTGTTCAGCCTGGAGTAGGCTCCGGGGAGACCTTACTGTGGCATTTTGGTTCTTACAAGCGGCATATAAGAACGATGGGGAGAGACTTTTTAGCAGGGGCAGTTGCAACAGGACTAGGGGTGATGGTTTTGAACTAGAAGAGGGGAGATTCAGGCTGGATGTGAGGAAGCAATTCTTTACAAAGAGGGTGTAAAACACTGGCACAGGTTGCCCAGAGAGGTGGTGGATGCCCCACCCCTGAAAGCCAGGCTGGATGTGGTTCTGGGCAACCTGATCTTGTTGAAGATGTCCCTGCTCATTGCTGGGGTTTGGACTAGGTGAACTTTGAAGGTCCTTTCCAACCCAAGCAATTCATATATCTATGGTTCTATATTTCAGTACTGCTGGCAGTGTAATTCAGCTCCAAGAAAAATGCTGAAGAGCAGTGTAAGGAGATTTTCTTCTGTTTGTTTCCTTAAGCCAACATTTCTGTGTTTTGAGGGATTGTAACAAAAGCAGCTACCAACAGGGTAAGAAAAAATATCTTTGTTATTATGAATACAGCATAAAATCACAGTCATTTTATACACATTTTAGTATTTCATATATAAATAAAGTGAACAGTATAGTTACTGGAATGTGTAATAGGAACAAACATATGGATTTTAAGTGACATTTACAAATTCTTGGGCCCAACCCAGTCTTTTGTTGCTTCTCTGGGGCTTAGTGTATTAACTCTGAAATACTTCTAGGAAGAAGGTTACTCAAGCTGTGATGCCACCAATAACTCCAAGCATTACCTTAATTCCATTTACAATCAGTTCTCCTCTCATTTTCCTGATTTAGCCTGTGAATTCTGTGTCAGTATCCCCACATCGCAAGAAAGATTAATCCTGCATGTTATTTGACACAGTGTTGAAAGAAAACATTTTCCAAGCTTTATAATTTTGTTAAACTCATTAACAATCAGCATTTTCCCATCACTATACACTCTTGCAAATGTTTCCATTAAATATATTTCTAATATTAATAAAATAACAAACTCTTTTATTATTCTTCTGCTTATAACTTGATGTCTTAACATCAAAATAGTATTTCTTTCTAATAAAATTATACATAGTATTTATATGAAACAAAGTTGTGCGTGAGCCAAGTAATGAAAGTAGGCATGAGCGTATGTGTTTCTACATTCTGATTTTGGATTCTTGGGGGAGTTTGTTATTTTTGGAGCCAAAGAATAATAAATAATTTATAAGGTAATGACTTCCCTGGCTACTGGGTAACTAACTTAAGACTGGAAATGATTCCTGCTCTGGCTTTATGAAACTTTGGGTATGCTGAAGAAAATGGCACTTTTCTATCTGTGTGTCTTTAACCAGAAATCTTAATTAAATGTTTCTGGTACAACACGTTATGAAAGTTATCATAGAGTGAGTGAAGAATAAAATGAGAGAAGCCTATGCAAAGATCTTAGCTGCATGCAAACAGAAAGCTGAACCTTCCCAGTGAGTTCTCTTCTGAGGGACTCTCCCTGCTGGAGGAATTCCTATGTCTTCTTGGGTGGATTTAATCTCTACCATGATGTCTCCTCCTTGTTGCTGGGACTCAGCCAACAGCCTGGGAGCAGGGAGTCTGGAAAGAGGAGGGTGAAGAACAAGGACAAAACCAAGGGGCACTTTCCTTCATCTTTTTTGATGGAGTAAGCATGTCTGTTGGAAACTGAGCTCTAGACTGTGAAAACCAATGATGCAGACTCCAGAAAGGGAAGTTACTGAGGTTTCCATCCAGAAAGGCATGTGAACATGTGCCATGTTCTATGTTTGAAGAGTCTGTAGGACAGCTTTTTCTGCTTACTCTGTGCTTATAGTGAAGCAAGCATTTTATCTACTTTCCTGGTTCAGTCTTAGAATTTCCCTTCCATACTTACGCTCAGCAGGGCAACTGTCACCTACCCCTGAAATTGATGGTCAAACTGTAGGAACTTCTCATTTGGTATTTGTCTATATTTGGAAAAGCAGAGCTTAGAACTAAAAACTGCCTTTTTTAGAACACATCTTCTTGTCATCAGGGGTCAACAGAATTTAGTTGGTGTGTAGGAAGCAATTCATCAAAATCGTTCAGTATCTGATGGTCAAAAAACCCTGCAGCTGACAGTGCTACAGTGGGAATCGGCCTTATCCAGCAGGTTGTGGGGTGTGGTGGTAAACATATGCAAGAGTTACATTATTTGTAGGAGTTACAAATAACAACATTTGACATTTAATTTACTTAAAAATGCATATTCATGAATGATGTTATTTTTACGTATTTGCCTGTGTAAAATTAAGAAAATCAGTAACAAATGCCTCAGTTTATGCTGTCTTAGAGGTTTCTTTCAGCCTGCTGCATATAAGACCATCTGTCTTTTGGCCACAAGTTCCTTCCCCAAGCCTTACTGATGTCTTTATTACGTGGTTCACAAGACTGCTTGGCTCTGCAGCTGCTGGCAGAGGGCCTCCCAGAGGAGAAGCCCAAAGACCACAGTGTGAGAGCACTACCACTTTTGCTAAGCTATCCCAGTGACTTAGTCATTGCTTTGTAAATACTGAAATACATACAATGTGAAGAGGAATACAGAACATTAAGGGTCTTAAAGCTAATGCCCTTGCTTGTGGCATAGTGATAGCAACAAGTTGGAAAACAGAGGAATTAATACATTGTCTTAAGATAATACAAGAAAGGTAGGAAAGATCTAGCTACACAGCTATTTATACAGAATTTGTACCAGTGATGTAGAGATGACACCAACTGCCTTTTGGCCTGGAAGTATGGAAGGGAACCCAAACCTTTACAGGCTACCTTTAAAGGGCTCCTTGTATTTTTACGTGTACGTATTTTGTTAGAACAAGCTCTGAAAAACATGGCAAAATAAGAAGTTTTTCTTTTCATTTGTAACGTGGACATGAGCCAGCACTAAACATACTGTAAAAGTAGCAGCTACACAGATACAACATAGAAGTTTTGTGCTTAATATACTCCTTTATCTTCTAAGCATGGCAAAGTCCTCAGCAGCTGTCATAATCCAAAAGAAATGGTAACATACATCATCCATGAGGTAAGATCTAACTTGTGCATCCAATTTTCCAGTGTAAAAAAAGGGCACTCTCGCTCATCCCTCTTCACAAATATAGGATCCCATGTGCAGTACCTCACCTTAGCCATCCTCGTACCAGTTGAAATGTTCTGTCATTTGAACTCCTGCACTTACTCATACTCCCCATATACCCAGCCAAATACACTGCAACATTGTGTTCCAGCTCCGTGAATGCAATTTAGGTTGCTCTGATACAGCAGAGGAAGGAAACAGATGGAAGCTCTTTGCAAACATGAGGCCTCTCTCTGGTCTTGTTTCACCTGGACTTCAGCATTTCACCAAGGAAGACATGCACCCACAGGAACTCACACTCCGACTCTTTCTGCAAGGCTGGGTTTGGTTCTGTGCTTGCCAGTAAGCCTGCTTGACTCACTTACAATTGGTGTTCTTGCTTTATACATCCCCTGTTCTCTTGCTCATCTTTGTGTAATGTTTCTAGCATGAATCTATTGAGGAAGGGAACTGGTCTTCACACTCAGCAGCAGGTGAATGGTAAAGGAAAAGTAGTGGTAGTTTAGGACAAACATATCTTTTTGACACTTTTTGAACAATAGTCTAGCAACACAAAGATGAGTAATTTCCCTATCAGGAAGTAGTGCCCTTGTATCACTGTTTCACCTTTTTTTTTTTTTTTTGCCTTTTTTTGTCATGCGAGAGCATAATAGAAGAAGATATCCCACTTAACAGCTAGCCTATGGCCTATGTTGTGAAAGAGGGATCCACTTCGCCAAAGATGCTTTCCTAAGCCTGGGGACAGTAGGTGGAGACTTGAGTTCAGTGATGCAATATATTTACATGTATAAAGTAATCGTGGACCAAGGTTTTTGTTATTAATGTCATTCAGGGATGGTGTTCAGCTACATGTCTATCCCTGGCAAAATTTGGGTACTGGGTCATTTGGACATATAATGCAACGTAGGCAGATGAAATGCTGTGGTCTAGTTAATCCTAGAGGATGCCTGAATTGTATTATATACTAAGAAGTTTTTCTTGACAATCTAGTACAATGCACAGTGCAGGCTTGACAGTATGGAATCCAGGCTACAAGGAGGCTACCATGAATCCAGAAGCCTATAGTACAGGCAGCATGGTTGAGGAAAAGCAGAGAGAAAATTGGGAAATAATATATATATATAAATATATATATATTTTACATTGTCAGTGCATTTTTATACTGAAGAACTCTAAAGGGGCTCTATTTTTTTCAGTAGGCATAGCTAAGGATGGGCTGCCTTCTGTATCCTGGAGTCCCTGGGTGCTGCCCTTGGTTTGTAGTCTTCTCCAGATCCAAAATCTACTGTGTCGTGATAGTTTGTAAATTCCTGAGGTAATGGAAACTCCTCTGTTGATGAATGAGTCCTGTGTCCAAATACTCTCTCTTGCAGCTCAGCGATGTCATTTCTGATGTCTGCCATCATCAGCAATAGGAAATCAAATGAACCTGGTGGGCCCTGCAGTCACAAGGCACAGTCAGAAATAATAACCCACTTCGGCCTCAGAGTTTTCAAACAGGTTGATATAATTACTCTTGCAGGGATAACCTGGTATAATACTGCTTCATATCAATTCCCAAATGTTAATGCTCTGGTTTTGAGTCAACTGGCTTAGGCAACAATTTTCAAAAGAAGGCAAATGTTTTTGCAGACAGAGGGTAATTTACATTTATAAGAGGCTCAGCCCTTCAGCTACTTAACAATTCCTTTGCTTATCTGCCTCCTAAGATCATCTTAGCATATTATGAAGATTCTCCTCATGGGAACAGAGGAGATAAATCTTGGTTCCTTGTGTTCCCTCTTATTAAACTGATAGAAATTACACACCTAGAATGACTAATCAATCAACAGTTATTATCTGTTTAAATATTTTCTCAAGAATGCTAGTATTTGAAGAGTGTCTTTTCAACATGGTAACCTTGCTGCTGTCCATCACTTACTAAATATATTGGCAATTACAATGCAGAGAGTAGCCATCTGGTTTTACCTGATTTTAGAAAATCATCATCTCTTTTAAGATGACTTCACAAAGTAAAGTACACTGTTTAATACTGAGCACATCCTGCTGGACACACCCTTAAAAATCCATTCCATGAATGGCAAAACACTGTAATAAATAGATTTTTAAACAATATAACTTGAAAAGAGATTGTAAATATTCATCCTTTTCCCAATGTCTTGCTCAAAGCCTATAGCTTCCCAAATCCTAGAGAGAGATGAGGGACAGGATTTTAAAAGGTTCCAGGGCTCAAACTCCCATAAGGAGCAGTGACAGAACTGAACTAACTTACACTCTGCATAGGATCTCATGCTCCTGACTTCTGAAGATGTCCTACTGCTGTTGTAGGGCACAGGTGTACTTACTGCCTTCAGTGTCCACCCAGCAAGGGAAGAGGTGTGTAGGCAAAAACACTTGGATGAAAACAGGTAATTACTTTCTTTCCAATAATATTTTCTGTGCATGTAATGTATCTTTCACTGTGTTTTTGACATGAGGTTTCTTTGTTTGTTTTCCTTTCGGCTGACTTGTGGTACGTAGTCAGCATCATTCTGCTGTGGAAATTCTTCCTCTGAGCAATACTTACAGGTATCCCTTTTGGTCCTGGTGCACCTCTCTCCCCCTGTAATCAATACCACCTCAATTACTTTGTTGTGACAACAGGAAATGAAAAAAAAATAAAATCACAGTTTGCCTCTGCCAGCTTCTTTACTTACTGTCCCTAGATCTAGAATCATCATCGTACACTTGCTCAGAAAAAGAAAGTGAAGGAGGAAGGCAAGGAAATTGCTGCTGATTCTAGTGGCAACAGAGTTGGGCACTTCTAATATTTCTCCTAGACTGTAATACGCAAACCCTTTAACAGGAGAAATTAATTAATGAAATGGGTAAAGCATCAACATTTCTTCATGGAAAAGCTAAAAAAGCAGCACAGAAAGGAAAGGAGGCTGCTGGGCACAGCCTGGCAGGGCTGTTTCCCAGGCTTAAGGAATGGCAGATACAAAACAGCAGAAGGAAGACATGAAGGGATGAGACAACAGGATGTTTGCAGCTTAATAAAGGAAATGAGGTGGTAAAAGGATGTGACTACAATCATGCAGAGGGTCTCTCTAGCAAACCTGCACTTCACATGTACATGTGCCCACATTGTGAAAAACAGTACCTCTCCTCACCTTGCTGCCATCTCTCCCTGGGGCTCCTGGTGGACCCTGCAAAAGAAAAGAAAGTGTTTGCAGGGACATCAGCAGCTGTGCAGCTAAGGCCAATTGTGCAATCCGCAATGGGAGATAAGAGTACTGACCACGGGACCCCGTCTGCCCTGCTTAATATGTGATATGTCTGGAGATGGGCCCATAGGTCCCATTGATCCACGGGGTCCTGGCTGTCCGGGAGGTCCAGGTGACCCAGGAACTCCTTGACTCCCTTTTGGTCCTGGAGCTCCTGCAATCAACAACAAAGGTTACCTCCTTAGGAAAGGCCCTCAGAACACTTGATCAGTGCAAGCAGTGGGGACTGACCATTTTTTGAACCACCCAATGAACTGGTTGCCTTAAGACACCTAAATCCATAACAAGACAACCAACACAGCAGTCATCTGAGACCGTATAACTCCTTGTCACAGTAGCTACAAGAGATGTTCAGAAAAAATTAAACCTTGTATGTACAAGGAAGCAAAGACTGTCAGGCGGTTAGGGACACAGAGTGGGAATGAAAAGAAAAGCAGAAATGCCTTATTTTCACACAAAGAAGAAAGGAACAAGTCTCATAAAACTCATAGGAATGTTAGATCAAATACATTTACTATGCATGACTGGCACAGAAGCAAGCAAGCCCTTTTCAGTGGTGGGTTGCTTCTGTTGCTTCTCTCTTTTGTCCAGTATGGTAGCCCATGTATTAGGGGCAAAAAAGTCTCTGTTATTCCATTTTGTTTTACATCCTTTTCAGCTTCTGCTGTTTCAGCAGAGAATGTTAATTTTCAGGAAGCACATAAGCCACAAAACATATGTTTAGCTCAAGAGAAACACTGAAAAGCAAAAAAAGAAATCTGGCACCTGAAACAACATTTGCACAAAATAAAGGCCATTAAATTGTCACTTGCTGAATTGCTTAGTAGGGGAAAGAACTTTTCTTCATACTGAAGGCATGTGAAGCACATATAAAATGAAAGAGAGTAGAGAGGGTTCAGCAGGACAGAATACGTATAGTCAGGGTTTTCAAAAGGAGTAAAATCAACTTCAGTTTTGAACCTCAGATTCCTTCTAGAGATCCAGCAGCACTGTTGCTGGCAGCAGGGCAGACAGTAAGTTAGCAGGAGTGGTTTTCAAGTGGAAAACAACATTTTACAGCACCTTGGAGAGCTCAGTCATGGTGGAAGCAGATGGAAGACTTGCAGAGTCAGGCCTACGTTGGACTGTACAGTTCAGAGTCTGAGACAGAATCTCTAACCATATTGTCCTAGCACTTATGATATACTGAAAACTGAAGATACTCATCCTCCAAGAAAATGAGGTAAAGACCCAAAACCAAAGCAAGACTGCAAAAGTGGGAATAAATGTGTGTGTATGTGTGTAAGCGCACAGCTCGGTTGTAAGTAAATAAAACCTTGTAAGGAATATCTGCTATTTCTCTGGAGAATATTCCCGAAAGCCAGCACAGTGCTAAAATTCCTTGGAGTCATCGCTATCCCAAAATTAATGTGCATTCAACAGATTTTGCAAAATTGTTAGCATCACTGGTTGCTGGTTGCAAGGTGTCTGGCTTAATTCAGAGCTTTAGGAGTTCTCTGCTTTTATGACTTTTCAAGCTATACCTTAGCAAAGAAGGTGTGAGTAGAGCTTTATGTTTCTTTTCAGATTCCTTTGAATTTGGAATACGACCTAAAAACACCAAATGAATCCTTGAAAACCAAATGAGTTAAAATAGAAGAGCTGGCACTAAGCCCTGCAAACTGAAAGCACATTTTCTGGTTTACTAATGATAGTGAGCTAAAGCAATAGGCATTCCTGAAATGAAATGGAGAGTGTTTTAAGACAGATTTAATATGCAGGAAATGACAGTTGAAGCAGGTGAGATATCCCAGGGAGAGAGAGAAATTTAATACATACAGGACAAACACATGTTGCATGCCAAAAAACACATTGAGACTGAGACACAATGGATGATGTTCGACAGCAGAGGCTGACCATAATGACCAGAAAGTTTTTAAATTTAGCACAAACACAAATATAATGATAACAATCAAAATATGAAACACATTAAATCTGACCACACTGAAGATGTGCTTATGACTTTTATTCATAGCACTATTGCACATTCATGTCTCTCTCATCTATATCTTACCTGGAGGGCCTGGTTGGCCAGGCTGGCCTGGGGGGCCAGGGATATATGCATTAGATGCAAGCACTTTTTCACCAGTGATTTGCTTGCTAAGATCAGCAGCATTATTTGGAAGAAAAGCAACCTGCCAAAACCAAAAATCAGTGTAAGCCCTTCACCGTTCAGCTGGATAAATTACATTCTTGGTTAAGCTTTCATGTGAACATATTAATGTTCTCCAGGAAAATACAAAATGTTTAATCATATCCTTCACTGATATAATCAGAAAAAAATGTTACTGTGTAAGGCTGTTCACTTTTCAAGCCACTGTGGAAATACTGCAAGTCAATCCAAATGGAGGGCAGGAGAAATTCAGGAGACATACATCAGCATGTTGTCAAAAACTTGTCTCATAGCTGCTTGGATTGTCTTAGGAAACCTTTTTCCTTATTTAAAGTTTTCTCTATTCATTTACTGCTCTTTCTCAGGACAACATTAGCTCAGATACCTGAGTTCTCAGTTTCTGCACAGCCTCTAACTTTTCAAGGTTTCAGGGACAGCCCCCAATCCTTTGTGTATCTGGCCCTGTAAGCCCACTGTTTAACCTGACAGATGTGTGGATCTGCTCTGCATAGAAACACAAAGCTAAAGTAAGTGAGAATGTCAGGAGAATTGCACACTGTAGTTTAAAATGTCATTATCAATTACATCAGATCCTTAATTATGCATGAAATATTAATCTGCCCAGATTGAGTATATTTAATAATTAAACTCTTTTTTCTACAATGAGTTTACAGCATTGATGGATAACAGAAGATCGACTGATGTCATCTACTTGGACTTGTGCTGTCCCACACAGCATCCTTTCTCTGGATTGGGAAGACATGCATATGATGGATGGAACACTCAGTGCATAACAAATTAGATGGATGGTCACACTCAAAGAGTTGCAGTCAACGGCTCGATGTCCAAGTGGAGACCAGTGATAAGTGACATTCTCCAGGGATCGGTGTTGGGTCTGCCACTGTTTAACACCTTTGTTGATGACATGGACATTGAGATTGAGTGTGCCCTCAGCAAGTTTGTTGCTCTGGGGTCCCCAGCATAAGAAAGACATGCAGCTATTGGAGAAAGTCCAGAGGAGGCCACAAAGATTATCTGAGCGCTGGGGCACCTCTGCTATGGAGACAGGCTGAGGGAGTTGGAGCTCAGCCTGGAGAAGAGAAAGCTCTGACAACACCTTAGAGCAACTTCCAGTGCCTAAAGGGGGCTACAAGGAATCTGGAGAGGGACTTTTAACAAGGTCAGGGAGGTAGCGATAGAACAAGGGGGAATGGCTTTAACCTGAATGAGGGTAGATTTAGATTAGATATGAGGAACAAGTTCTTCCCTGTGAGGGTGCTGAGGCACTGGCACAGGCTGCCCAGAGAAGGTGTGGCTGCCCCATCCCTGGCAGTGTTTAAGGCCAGGTTGAATGGGGCTTGGGGCAACCTACTCTAGTGGAAGGTGTCCCTGCCCATGGCAGGGGGTTGGAACTGAATAAGCTTTAAGGGCCCTTCGAACTTAAACCATTCTATGATCCTTTGATTCTGTCATATTTAGAAATATTCTGCAGATGTTTCATCTCTCCAGAACCAGCTGAAGGGAGATGACAAGGCAGGCGGCTGGTTTGCAGTGGGGAAAGATTATTAGTGGCGAGTGGCTGCATGTACCGTTGGGAATTTTGCTCTGCCAAATGGAACTGAAGAGTTACTTGAGCAATACCATGGCAGATCTACTCCTGGGTCAGCTCTGTAGCTCCTTGAATGAATTTGGCTCAGTGGTGATGCTGGATTCTCCAATATTTGTGTGGGAGAGCTTCATTAAATAAAATACACAATGACTCCTGCTACCTGTCAATGCTTTTAATCAGCTATTTGGAATTCCCTGTGCTGGGAATTCCGCTGTTGGAATTCCTTTCATTGGGAACAGGGCTGTTCTCAAGGTTCATGCTTCCTTCTTTAATTTTTTGATACACATGCTTCTGGCCTTAGTGCAAACCTAATGTTTGTAACACACAGAGGAAAAAAAATGCTATGCACTTGCAGTACACACTATAACTGGCCAAATTTCTTTTATCAAGTTATTACTTAAGTATGCACTTTAAGGGCAGTCAGTGCTGCTTGTAGTTTGGTGTCTGGATGCACAGAACAGTTCTGAAGGAAGCAAAAGTGAGGGGAAAAGACTTAAAAAAGTCAGAAATATTAAGACAGTTCATGGTGGCATTTCCAAAACACCAGTTTGATTTTTCAGAGTGCTAGTCAAAACGCAATGACAGGAATACAAATATTTATCAGCCATTTGTGACTCAGGTTTTGGAGAACATTGCTGTTCCAAACACAAGATGCACTAAAGACAAATCAAGTGATGTAAGTCTTACAAGAATTTGGTAGAGTCAGTCCACCCCCACAGAAATCAGTGACTGGATGAAGTCAGCACATCACAGAAGCCCCACAGGGTGTTTATTCTGAGCTTACTCCTATGAATCTGCTCACATAGAAAATGGGGATCCAGCACACCTACTGCTTTGGGGTGGACTGTCATCTATGGTTTTAAAGGAAAAACATCTGCTTTGTTTACTAATAATCCTGCAGCTTTCTCAGCCAACATCCCAGCCATTTTAGCACACAACAAAGTGTGGGACTGCTGAAAAGGCTCCTCCATGGGTCACAGTACCTTATGCCTGGGGCAAAAGAGGAAAATTCAGTAGCTGGGAGCTCTCACAGCCACACTTGCCAGGGATCAGCATGGGGAGGTCAACTGCCCAGCTCTGGTTGGCACACTGTAAGGTTTTGTTTCCTGGAGTAAGGTCCTGTCCAGAGGAGGGTCCTGGCTGGATATGAATGGAAGGGTTGCAAGGACCATCGTGCTGCAAAACCTTCACTGTGTGACTCTAGTCAGGGGCTCTGCAGTGCTAACGCTGCCATGCTAAAACCAAGAAAGAGTTAAATCGTGTGACTACCTAAAAGCACTGGATTTTCCAGGCAGTTTTTGTGAGAATATTTTCAGTGTCATGAGTGAGTGCTTCTCCTTAAGGTCAGTTAGCATTTCTCCTTAAGGGTGTGCACAGTTGAGTGACAGCTTAATTGATGTCCTCTTTAGAGCTTGTACTTAAATTTACTACCAGATCCTGTTTTGGAGATGTATTGCTATCTCAGCTAATAAATAGACATCACTTAGTATTAGTCCCTGCCATGAATATAACTCTTAAGATTTATCACAAAGAGGATTTGGAAGTGTATTCTTTTCTGTTGCTTAAATATTGACTTGTTCCTGCCAGCAAGGCTGTTGTAATAACTAAGTTAAAAAAAAAAAATCACATAGCTGCTGTGAAAGCATCTACACATGCTTCCCCACTGAGTCAGATGGACCTGAGGCATACACTGAGAGTGCCAAAATACCCAGTCTCTGTTCTAGCTCACTGCTCTTTGATATCTTCTGGCCAGAAAATGGTTGTTACATGCACTGGGGCCAGACCATGTGTTTTTGATGTTGACTCACATCCTCTTTGGGATTGGCTATACTCACTGGCCTAATTTCTATTTCACCTTTTAACTGAACCAGGATCATCTTCCAGAGTGACCTTGGCTTTCTGTGTCCACAGCTCCAAATCTTAATGGCCCTTGGAAAATATCTTTTTGCTTTCCATGTGCATGCAAATGTTAGCGAGGGTAAATTTTAAAGAAAGAGAGTACTAAAACCAAGACTCCCATATGCTGTGTGGCATGCTGCATCTGGAGTTTTGAGTAGTTTCTAGGAGATGTGTGGTTTAGGCAACTTTGACAGTACTTGACAGAAGTGATGTGGAACATGGTTTTCTAATTAAACATGTCTCTGCAATAGAATCAAGCTTACTTGGTGGTGGGTTTTTTTTGTTTTAAATTGTTGGCTGAGTGTCAGCATGTTAGATACATTTCTCCCAGTTTTTCAGCTTTCCGTTCTTCTTCCTTCCAGCAAGGTCTGAGATCAACAAAGGACTGTCCACAGTTCCCTAGTATCTTGGATAGCATCCCACTGGATTAACCATGTAAGGTGACTTTCTGTTCCTGATCCTAGAACTACTTTTTCTGCATCATTTCATGGATGTTGCAATCCTCCAAAAAGGTATTGGTGCCATCAGCAGGGGTAGCAGGACTTGAGTTCACCCTGTCCTTTCTGACGGAGACACAAATCTACACCTCCCACTTCCAGAAGCATACACCAGTTCCCAATTGTAGAGTTTGCTGGATTGGATCCTTCACAGGCTCTTCTGCTAAACACAATTTTGCATAAAGTTCATAAAATCTGAAAGCCTTAACCACAAAACTGAAGACTCATTCCCATAAACTGTCTCTCCGGCAGACAAAAGTGAATTTTTCTGTGCAAACCAGAACAGCTTCAACCACAGATATTAAGAGACATCCTCCCCAGAAGAACTTGGCCAGGAGGAGCAGCTGGTGAAACACAAGGGTCCATCTCCTTGTGGGCAGAGAAGCAGCATGAGGTTAGGTCTCCTCTCTGGGGGATTAAAAATGCTGAGGGTATCAGAGACCACCTCTTCCAGCCCTGTCTTGTGTGAGGCACAACCCGGGGCCCCTTCTGAGGATGCCAAATAAATGAATTCCCACTAGGAAGATACTTAGGGAAGATTTAAGCTGTGGACCATGACAGGACTTGGCTATGAAGCAAGAGTGAGCTGCTTAGTTTGGCCGCAGCTACTGTACAAGTGCTCGCAGTGTCAGGTATTGATGGTCTTAGTTTTCCAGGAGTGAGATTTGAAAACAGGCATCTAACAGTGGAAGCTTGACACAAAAAACTTTCTACTGATTCAGGCCATTGGTTTCCATCAATTCTTGCAGCAAACGACTTGGCCAACAGTGTGACCCAGATCCTTCCCTAGAGGTCAGTGTGAGCCTGCTCAGCATCACAGACTGCAGCTGGACAAACAGACACTAAAAAGAACGGATTCTTTTTTAACCTGTCTGCTACCATTTGTTTGAAAATCAGAATCTCCATTGCACATGAAATTCTGCCACTTCCACATTCCTCTCCCTGCTCATCCAGAGGAAAACATGGCATTCTGAGATTTTTGAGATAAAGAGTATCTCTAAATTCAGTATATTTCATTTAAGTGAAGTAGACGTCTTTCTTCCTAATATAAATTGCATTGAATGAATAACATTAAATTAAACAAATGAAAACACCAAATTGTGTTTTGACACAATGAAACTAAACGAGCACTCTGGGTGAAATAATTACAGCCTGTCAACATGAATTGTTGAGAATATTCCTGCAGAATTTTTCAATTTAAGAAAACCTGAATGTTTGAAGGTGATGTTACTGGAAAAGGGATTGCACCTGAATACCTACACCTGCCTCTCCAAATTCTAGGTTGAGTCTCTGAGTTAATTCAATCCCACTTAAGTGCAAAAGGAGGCCACTTACAGGAGCAATTAAAGTTAAAGGCAAGGACAAGTTTTTAAGTGCATTATTGTCTACTTGTAAGGACAAGGGTGAAAATGAACAAGGTTAGGGCTGAGGGTTTTTCTTTGTAAAAAATCAAAGCTTAGTGGTGGATTTGTTTAGCCACATACCTCCTATTTGGAAAGAGTACTGTACCAGCATCCCATTAATGCAAAATCATGTTCTCCCATGTTGTGGCATCTGCAGAATGTCTTGCACTTACTTGTACTAAAAGTGGATCAAGTCCAAAATCTTGTGCATTTAGAATGAATGAAAAGCTTAGGCCAGCACAGATTGCCAAGAAACCTGGGCTCAGACTGGGATGGGAGTTTGGCAGACTCTGTTACCATGAGCTTGGTAACACAGCTTCATGAGCTTGGTTAGCAATCTGCTTACAAGCAGTACAGAAGTGTAAAGAAGAGATGCCATTCCAACATGATTTAAAAATACATTGCCATCATCTTTATGGCCACAAGAGCCACAGGCTTTGCCACAGGCAGTGACAGCTCCAAACACTTAAATTTAATCTCAGTTGTCATAAAACATGCAGGTCTGGTGAAGACATGGCTGATCAGTGTTCTTACCTTTTGCTTCAGTTGTAAAACCATCTGCTTTATTTGATGAAATTCCTTACACGAGGCACAGCATGTCCCTGGTTTCGCCACATTTTCAGATTTCTCAGTAAGCCCAGCTGAAAGCAAGCAGTTTCCAATGAAAATATAAAGATCCGAAGTAAATAAATTCATACAGTGATTGCGAAAGCAACTTGAAAGTTATTACATTTCCCCAGACTGTGAAAAGAGGAGAGAAACTTGCTATTATTAATGCTTTGACTGTGAATTGCTATGTAAGCCTGAAAACCTTGCAGGGACAGCTCTGAGCTCGTTTTTAAAGCAGCTGTTTCCAGTTAACAGCCCCCCAGGAATTTCTTTTTTTTTAATACCTGGAAGAGTTTACACCACTTCTTTTATCTTTGTGTTTAGGGTAGGCTAACTCTACAGATCTGAACTGATTTACGGTCCCCAAAGGGCGAATTTTCATATGCTATAAATTACAGTAAAATCCCTCACAATATGGTCATTTAATTCACTTTGCACAAACTGCTTTTTATCATCACAGGTTATTCCTCCATGTGATGAAATCAGCCTGAGCAGAGACAGGGATTGAGATTAATGACAGGGATTTAAATCCATGCAAGAGAAAGGGTCACACCTGTTGATACTATGCATGAATGGGATCTTTTCAAGATTCCATTAAATGATTCAAACTGTAAGAGATATCACAAATGTTTTTCTTGCCCTTTTCCCAGTCCCATAAAATGTGAAGCACTTCTGCATCACAAGCAAACAAGCATTGTTTTAACAGATGTCTACTTAAAGAGAAACTTTAGGTGAGCTTTTTTGCTTTCACGTATAGTTGTTGAGAAGCATCAAGTGTATGGAGGCTCTGCATATGATGCATATAACCTTCTACAGTGTTACCTGGAAGGGCTGTTAGACACCTTTGAACACCAGCCTTTCAGAGCATGTCCTGTAATGGAAAAACTCTGCAGGTGCTCCTGGTTGAAGCCAGCAAATCTTCAAAATCTTCAAAAAGGATCAACTACAGTGCACTTAGCTATTGTGTTTTACTTCTCTCTTGGACATGCACTCTAATGTCCTTCACCTTTTCAGAAATATGCATTGATTTTGAAAACACCTGCATCATTTTAAATGAAACCAGAAGTTTCTAATACTAAAGATACTGTGTAGTACTTGACTTGAAATATTTGCAGGGTCCCATAAGGAATATTGCATCCATCATATGGTCATCTATGGAAAATCAACTAAAGCACAAATTTATGAAAAACTGATTTTTGGTATGTTTAATCCATTGGATTTAATGCCACATAAGGTATGCTTGCTTTTAGAAGACAAAATTTTAGTTTTCTCCTAATAAGGTAGGAGTGGGTTGTAAGGGCAAGGTGCTGGAATGACCAGCAGTAGTAATACTGTTGTTAGCACTGAAGTGATCGGAAAACTAGGATGCAAAGGCTTGGGGTTTCATCAAATGCCTGCTCCCATGGTTGCAGTCCAGTGGCATTACAATAATACACAATTTCTTTAACGGTTTTATGGTAGTAAGCACACTATTGTTTGTCCTTCCCAGCCCTTCCTGATCATGCACAGCTTGGTAATATTTGAGTAGCTTTCCGTACAGTGTTCAGACGGCTCAAAGATTTAAGGCTGAGAAGTTCAACTTGGGGTTTTCTGATGATTTCTGTGTAAGATGTAATAGAATTTCAGCAAATTGTTCGTGGCTTCAAGACTGACCACAACACCTCCCAGATGGACTCCAGCCTTTATGTGAAGGTACCTGAACACACAGCATTTGCTGGTTTCCTTCCAAAAAGCAGTATTGTAAGGCTAATCATTTTGCTTTTGACTCCTTCCAAAGCCTATTTGACCATGAGCCTTTCTCTGATGAAGAGTCTGCCATGCAGAGGTTTTTTTTTATGCCTTAACAAGGAATTGATATGTTGTAATCAAGACATCTCTTGATATTTCTGTAAGGTACATCTCTTGACCACAAGTCAGTATTGTGGCTCCCTAATGGAATTCTTTCTCTTGCTCCAATTTTTCAGCTTCCTTTAACAAAAAAAAAATTAGTGTTTTGACATGTACTTTTTTGGACCTGTATAGGATTTATAGATGCACATATAAAGAGCCTTCAGAAAAATATGCCCCTGCCCACCCTTTCTTTTTTCCCCAAACTCCTGGGTTTGGTACTAGTCTTAACCAAAATCTCCTTTAGTAACTATCTTACCAAATGAGTTCCCTCATATTGTGTAAAGAAATTTTTGCTGAAAACAACATACAATCATAGGGAAAAACTGCCAGAGCCTTTGCTATTTGAAACCTAATGCCGTCCCTCTAGAATCAGTGGAATTATGTGTGGATTAAGAAGCAGTGAATTTGGCCTTGTGTTCAATTCTAAAATCCAGTTTATCTTCCAGAAGGATGTGGCACATGGGGCTGACAAGTATAGATAAAACAGGGCTGTAAAAATTCATGGAGATGAATGTGGGGGGGGGCCCCCCCCCAGCTATGATTTAGGAAATATCATACCAGTGAGATTTCTCCAAATCCAGTTGGATTGACTTGTCGGAGGAAGAAGTCCAACAGTGTCATATAAGCAAGCATGAGCTGCATCCCTGGAGAGAGGTGGAATCCCCCTAACTCATACCAGACAGAGGTGATGATTTGGCCAGGAAAGAAGTCATCCATCAAACATTTGCTCTACCCCCATCTGATCCTGTATCAGGACCAAACTACGAACAAAGCCAGAATAAAGCATGGATAAAGCCAGAAGCCACTTAGGACAGGCCAGGGGGGGCAGGAAGCGATTAGATGGAGCCACCCATGCGCAATGCAGAAACAGAGGTCACCCACCAGGGTGAGTATGGCCAGCACTGAGCAAGACACTCCTACAGCCTGTTTCTATTGCTCAGACCTACATCAGAATACAAATTATTTCAGAGAAGACTTAAACCAGCCCCATTTCATGAAGGCTTTCTAAATCACAAGTCTACCTCACGTATGACATTGCTGTCCTGATGAGGGTCCTTTCACCTCAGTGAGACACCAGTGAGCCCTGTGGCAACTATCAGTAAGAGATCTGCTTAAGGGAGCGACATGCTTTCTTTGCATGTGCTCAAAGAGTCTGCCTTGCTGATGCTGGAAGAGAAGGAGATACTGGCTGGGGAGAGCTCTGCAGGGAGCTGTGCTGTGGGCAGTCTTCGCATGGAGACGGTTGAGTTGATCATCTGTGTTGCATTATCTAGGCGCAGCCTGCTGAGATGGTTTCATTTGCGTACTTCTGTGAGAAGAGTGTATTGTCTCTATCAAATGTGACATGTCTGTGGATGCAGGAAAAATGCTCCCTGTTCTTGTGTCCACTAATAGACCCAAAGCTCTTGGTCAAGCCCTGTTACAGAGCCAAAAAGTGCCTGGATTGCAGCCTTCAGGTACGGCACAATGAAAATATGACTAGTATCTCATGGAAAATATGTGAAATGGTTAGAGCTGGAGAGGGGTACATGTGTTTTCATGTCTCTCACAATAAATGTTAAAATAAAATTGAAGCGTTCCATCTACGAAGAAAAGCAAATAATCGATTTATTAGGAAGTGATTCCAGCATGGATGTGTTCCAGAGCGGTGCAGGGCTAGGGCTGACCACGGGGTGGTGCATCGCGACAGCCGGTCGCTCTCGGCTGCCCAAAGCTTTTTCTTTCGGATGAGTTACGAACAGCAATGATCAGCTCCTCCTGAATTTGTCCCAGAGGCCTGACAATTAGTAACAGTGACTTGGAGTATAGCGGCGTAACAGAGCGGAAAGCGGTCTCCTGGGCTTCACGTCGCTGGTTTGGGAAATGTTTTGAGAGATGGGCAGTATTTTGTTCCAGATTAACTACTGAAACTGACATTTTTATGTGCCGTGCATATTCAGTGTAAAATTGGTGCTTTTCAAATATCCGAATTATTTCCACAGGCTTGAATATTTTGCATGGTTGGTTATCCTGAATGCTGTGGACACTGCTTTGTCTAGTAATTTGAATTAGCCAGTGGAAAAGTTAACTAGAAAAATTATTTGCAAGGGGATTATATAGGTTATTTCTCTTTCCTTTACGATTTCCACACACTTACAGGAAAAAAAATTGAAAAACGACAAGGAACAATTAAAATTAATAGAGTGTCTCCAGTTACATGTTTTCAGAGGAAAACCAAATTATAAATCACTCTCGCCATCCAACAGGATTTGAAGCACCCTGAAAGTAACTGTTCAGGCATTAGCTGATGAACCTATGGTAAATCATCATTCGTCCAAAGAGGGGGTTGTGGGTTGTTTGCGTTTTTTTTCTTTCCCAGAGCACAGGTTGTTCTCTTCTTTCTTTTCAAATTGTCATGTCAGTATTTAATCTGCAGTACTCTGAATGCTGTAACTTAATAACTGGGGTGAGGTCAAAAACCTTAAAATCATGCACAACACACACATGTACTTGGAAACCAACAGTGAAACTCAAGAACAAGTCCTCACTTCTACCCTTTTCCCATCACAAATTATTTTCATTGCAAAAAGTCACAAGACACACAGACTAATTGCAGGTCAGCAGAATTCAGTGTTTCTCAGTGTAATTTAGCAACTGATTTAAGCAAGTCTTGGAAAGTGTGTTGAATCCCCAGGCACACCTTCCCTGAGCCGCTGGGTGCCCAGATGCACTAACCATCCAACCCAGGGCCATTTGCTAATCTCAGGTATAGGCATGTACATACAAACTGAAGTTACTGAAATTAATTTAATTAACAGATTAAATTAATGTAGTCTTATAAGGGTATTTTTTTTTCCTTTGTTTCCTGAGCTCTGGACCACAAACTAGGTACAATCCAGGTTGGTATGGGAGCAAAATATGGCTTTTAGCAGATGGATCCAGCAGAACTGTCTAACTGAAGCTGTAAAGGCAAATTTCACTGTTCAGCCACTCTGTCTCTCTGGGGAAGATGCTTTCCACATCCTTCAATGTACTTGTACTCTTTTTATACATGGGGCTACTAATTTACTGCTTTGTGTGTGCAGCTCATAAACTGGGGAGGAGGAGAGCATGCAGCAGGACTGCTCCATAGGGGCTTGACTGCCCAGTGAACAGCCCAGACTCTGTAGGAGCATCAACTACATCCCAGGTTCAGATCCCCAGCTCTAAGTATAGCATAAGGAGCGGTTCCTCTTTATGACAGATCAACCTTTTAGATGGCTCTTTGGCCCAGAACCTTTAAACCCCACTAGCATATACCTCTATCTCCTTTGGTGCATGTCTTGCCATCCTCCTCCCGCGTATAGCCTTCGTGACACTCACACCTGTAGCTGCCTACGGTGTTGACACAGATCTGAGAGCACAGGGTCCCATTGCTTGTGGCACATTCGTCTATATCTGGAGAGGAGGAAGAATCACAGAATCACAGGCTCATAGGACAGAATGTTTTGGGTTAGAAGGGACCTTAAACGTCATCTAGTTCCAATGCCCTGCCATGGGCAGGGATGCCTTCCACTAGAGCAGGTTGCTCCAAGCCCTGTCCAACCTGGCCTTGAGCACTGCCAGGGATGGGGCAGCCACAAGAGTTTGAAATGCTCCAAAGCCAGAGGTTTCACAACTCAAATACAACAAAAGACTTCCTCCAAAGGTATCAGGAGGTTTCATGGTTTAAATATCTGAGTAATTGCAGCACTGCTGGTGCATTGGGCTTGAGCTCTATGCAAACTGTACATTTATTATTAACACACCTGGCATTTTATTAGTGAACATCTCTTGACCACTTCTTTGCATTGAAAAGATCACAAGCAAAGCTTAATCCTGCAAATCTTGGTTCCCTGGCACAACAAAGGCAGGTCAGACTAGCCACACAAGGACCGCATGTGAATCATCAGTCCCGAATTACATAGTGGCTACCTGAATCAAACCACAAGGATTTATATTCATAATTAGGCCCAGTTGTAGTGCTTTGAGGGATACTGTTAGCATCATGTCCCTTGTCTAAGGCTAAAAACCCAAACCTGTAGGAGGAATTAATAAAGGGAATTACATCAGCCCAACATTCCAAAGTGTTTGGGTGCATATGTCTCATTTTAGGTATTGCCTACTAATAATTTCAGGGGGATTTAGCTCTCTTAGGACTAGAACCAATCCTTAACATAATTAAAACGTATTTCTTCTGTCATAGTAATGAAATAAGAAAGATTTCAGATCTAAACTGACTCCTAAAAGACCTGAGGGAGCAGAATGCATTAGTAAGTAGGGATGAGCTAAACACGCACTTCTACCTACCCAGGCAATAAGGCTTTTCTCTGTTCCTGTGCCTCTCTCGATCATAGCGGTACCCAGGATAACAAGTGCATAAGACTCGCCCAAAGTTATCTGTGCACTGCTGTTCACAGGGAGCCTCGGCACAGACATCATAGTCTGGAGAGAGAAAATGTGGTTAGGAAAAATACCGGTGGCAGTAGCTAGACGATACTTTGACAGTAAAATTGTAATTGCTAATCACAGGTTTACAGTAGTTGGACTGTTTCTGAAAGCTGGATTTTAAGCAAGGGTCACTTTCCCAGTTTGTAGAATTTAAGATTTCTTTTCCCAGAAATATTAAATTACCTAAAAATTGTTTTGCTGTTTTATCGCACTATTTTCGAAGTGCTGATAGCAACACTTTGTACGCCGAATACTGTGGGACACTGTGAGGGCAACTGCCAAATCCAGGCATAAAGTATGTTATAAAGAAAACCTAATTAAAATTACACTCTAATTATTCAAAGCCAGATGTAACCCTTCTAGCAAAGAGCACATCGTTACAAAACCATCATCACTCTTCATAATAGCAATGCACAGATTAAAGTATGGTAAAGTCAGTGGCCAGGCTTGTCAGTGAAATCCCAAAATGCTCAAGTCCCTGTTTGAAACCCAAAGGAGGGAGAATCTGTTTCTGATTTCAGTGCTATGCAGCAGCAGATGTGAAGTCCAACGAAAACACCAGAGCAAACCAGGGTCTGACCTGCATCCCTGCCTTGCCAAGGGCTGGTTCTGTCCCCTGGTGTCAGGCTGGTGGTGCAGTTGAAGAGAGATGGCTCTGGGTCCCTGGCTGTCGGTCCAAGGGGGCAGTACCAGGAGCATCATCTAGTGTCAAAACCAGCTCAAGCAAACCCTGATGGAAGTCAGGTTTTATGCCAAAGCAAGTGGCAGTTTCTGAGATGATTTCAGAGGAACATCATCCTGTACACAGTATCCAGGTGGCTGTCACTGTGACCCTTCAGTGACTGGATACTAGGGAGTCATAGCAGAAATATGCTGTCCATGTTCCAGACCAAATACATCTAAACCAAAGCGTTTCAACTGAGTTCCCAGCAATGCACTGTTTCCATATTTACAGTATAAAATGATTAAAACCCAAACTCATTAGTGACTCACAGTAATGACTAGCAGACGTCCCTGGGTATGATGATTTTTCCAAACAATTGAAATGAACTGGTAGACAGTAAAGCAAGTGAAACCACATTTGCATGTTACACAAATTATTTGCATATTTCACAAATTATATGAAGCACACACGTGGCACTGAGGATGATAGTGACAATGTGCCAAGGTACAGAAGAGCACCAAACAACACTTAACAAGCTGCTGTACATCACACCAGAGCCCTTTAGGCCAAGAAGTACTATTGTAATGGTGCCAAACATTTCCTCCCTTGTACTTGTCACCTTTTGAATAGCAGGCATCCTTTCTTTCCTTCTTATTTCACAACTGTGTTAACACTTGAAGCCTGCCTGCAGTGCTGTGATGGTGAATGGCAGTGCCAGGACACCCAGCAGGAACTAGGGTCGTGCAGTGCACAGGCTTGTTCAAGGGTGGAAGGAAAACACAGCCTTGCCTTTGAACATGGTGAGCCTTGGCTAGTTTGGGCTTTTTAGGTGATGCTGGGGTTGTAAACTCCCGTTACATTTGGCACTACTAAATAATCCTGAATATAAAGTGGGTATTAGTGGTGTTTTTCCTGGGCGTGGTTGCAATTTTAATTTTCCACTGAAATAAAATCAAATGGAGAACAGGCTAGTGTGCCGAGCACCGAGGTGAACATGCCTACTCCTTAACCAGCATGCCCGTGCAGATGCTGGATTTGGCTTGTGCCATATTCTGCCTATTCAGAGTGGATGCAAAATGAGCTGTGCCCTCCCTGTGCTTCCATGAATAGCTGTGCCCTAATAAAATAATAAACAACAGTGCTGGAAGGGACCATCTCCCACCACAATCAGGATTAACTATGTGTAAACCTTTCCTAATAGACATTTATCTAGCCTGTACCTAGAAACCCCTGAGGGCTGGAGATGCCTCTCCATGCAGTCTATTACCAAGATTGAATGTCCCTGCAGATAGAAAGCCTTTTACTCATATCTAATCCAAACTCCCCTTGCAGCCATTTAAGCCCATTATTTTTGCCCTCTTCTTCTTGGCCATGAAGTACAGTTTACTTTCCCCTTGCAGCAAGTTTCCACATACCTAAAAACTGTTATCACGTTTCCCCTCAGCCTCCTTTCCTCTAGACTAAACAATGCCAATGCTTTTGAATTGCTTCTCTTATGCCATATTTCAACTAACTAGACTTTAAATGCCTTTCACTTCCACCTTAATTTACTTTCATGCAAAGCTAGGGAAGAGTCCAAGAAGTGGAAATCTCCCTGCTTGTGGTTGCCAAGGAGTCAACCCAAATCAGACAATGGTTATGGGCAGGTTCCACATCAGAGAGCTGTGTGTCCCCAGGGCTTTGGTCCCAGGTGACACAACTCCCTCAGTAACAGTCCTCACAAGTGGGATGAAACTTGGCAAAAGCTTCTTCACTATTTCTGTATGCTGTGCAGAACTGAGAATGCACATGCCCTTCCATGGTCAAGCTCCTTGTCTGCCAGCCCAGGTGGAGAAATGTGGTTTGTGGATGAATCAAAGCCACACGGTGGGGATCAGGCTGTTCCGGACTTCAGGAAAATACAAAAAACCTGGAGCAGAACAACAAATGTCTCTGTGTATATTTCAGTGAACTCAGGAATGACAGCGCAGCATCTGAAGTTGTACCAAGGAAATTTCTGAAATAGCATTAGTGAGGGAAGAACAGATTTGATTAGTGTTTGCCTGCCATAAACTGTAACTAATCCACAGCCAAGAAACTCAAGTAACAAACCAGTGGTAGGGATGGTGCTCTCCAAAAGAAGCTGTTTCAGACTACGTCTGTCCCTGCTTTACCCTCAGTGCCACCAGAAGACAGGACTTGTTTGGAGCTATGAGCCACTAGAGCAAAGAAGAAGGAGACAATTCAGGAGAAAAGGATGAGGAGCTACTTTTTGACCTGCTTCACTGGTCAGGTGGAGAAGGAAGAGATGCTATAAGGGGAATCAACCACACAAAGCAAACTCCCCTTCAAGTTTCCTGAAGAGCATTGTCCCCTGCTCCTGCAGCTGAAACCTAGAGTGAGAAGCTGAGTCCAAAGCAAATGAAATGCAGAACCTGGGGCATGGGCTCATACTGGACTGCACTGATTTCTGTTGCTTTTCAAGAGCAGACAAGAAATAACAGGTCAGAAACTGAAGATGGTCATGAGCACACAATCTTTTGGGAGTCTGTTTAAATAACAGCTGTGCAAGAAGGATATCTCTGTCTTCCTAAAGCAGCTGAAAGAGGGTGGACAAGGGAGGGTCTAACCCTATCCCAAACCTCCTCTCTGCAGCCACTGCTGTATCACAGAGAAGACGGCTGGAACTACTTCTCACATCTTTGACTTGCCAGTACTGGATTGAAAGGTGCAGATGTGCTCTAATAAGCTCACATCTGTAATATATTTATGTGGCTGTGTCGAGATATGCATTTCATACAGCTACTCTGTCAAGAATATGCCAAAACAATGTGTGAAGAGCCAAGTAATGTCTTGCAACGGACTAAGTGAAGTGAGTGCTTCACTGAACTGTGTTTCTCGTCCCTATACCAAGATCGTCTCAGATGTTATAGTAATTGCTGTGGCTTCTGAACTTCAAGGCAAAATATAGATTGAGCTGAAAAAGGGTGAAAGGAGGTACAAGAGGAAAGAAGCCAGAAGAGAAATTCAATTAGTGGCAGAAAACTCAGGTTACCGAGATGCAGTTAACAGACAGGATTAAGCAAATTCAGTGGGTACATAATAAAAGCTGCTTTCATAATCACCTCAAGTCTCAAGAGATGAAACTTAGGAGCCTAAAATAATATATTGCCATGGTTCTCATTTTATTTTTGTTCCTATCACTTCTCCTGCTGTACCCATTATATTTAGTGAATGCCAGCATATAAAATGGTTACAATCCATAGGAAAAATGGAAGGCACAGTGTAGAGTCCTGGCTTCTTTCCACCCTGAAAGGAGGGCTTCTGTCTCCTGTGTACACAACTGCCTTGCACAACAAAGTACAACTGCCTCGTCCAAGTGTCTGTCTCAGTCTGGAGCTGCCATCTCATGCCACACACACTGAAGTGAAACTCACTGCAAAACCACATCTTGGAGCATCAATTTCACCCAAACCCTTCCTAGCTCCCCAGGGCTTGGGTGGGTACTGTGAGCTGTTTGCAAGGAAACAGCAAATTCGTAATGTCTTATGAGAAAATGTGGATTTTATTTTTGTCTTTTTTTTTTTGGTCTTTTTTTTGGTCTTTTTTAAATTTTTGTTCTCCCAACCAGTGTTCTAGTGTTTCCAGGGAGCAGCAAAGAAGATGCAAGTTGTAAAAAACAAAAGCAGCAGGATCAGAGTTTGGTTTATAATCCCTGTTGGCTGGAGACTGTAAGTCAAAAACCAACTGACTCTCTCCAGTATGTTAATTTGTCCCTTTTCTTTTCAAAACATCACCATCCCAAACTGGCAAAACTCTCACGTCAACTTGAGGCTTTCCACGTGTCATCAAATAGAAGGATGTATTACCATAAGCCAACTTCTAACCTGTTTTTTGGAGAAAACATGGTTTATTGGCTTGTTATCTCTAGCCATTTGCTTCTGTGTGACAGCTCCTATTTCTACGCCTTCAGAACCAATTTCATGCAAATCAAGCAAAGCAATCTGAATGATTAAAGAAGTCCCATTGCCACTGCTCATGTGAAGCCATCGGCTGGGTGGACCTGACAAGGTTAAGGCAGGCAGAGCTCAGCCTTTTTCTACATGAGATCTCATTGCAACAACCTCTGTGCCCATGACCAGGAGAAGTGATGGAAAAGTAATGCTGTTTGATGATGCTGTCCCCTCACTGTCATCTTTGGGAAATGGGTAACTAACAACAAGACTAACTTAGTCACCCATTTCCTGTTCAATTACAAGCCGAATCGGCTGTTATAGATTCAAGGGGTACATGGGGAGAGCCATCAGACAGGAAAGGTGTGCTCCTGGGTGCACGGGGCACTCCTGCATGCCTAACCAAGAGCAGAATGCAGCCGTTTGTTTACAGGAGTTTATGGGACAAGATCTGTGTAGCCATGTGTACTTAGAGGAGGATCAAGGCTTGGCATGCTAAGCAAAACTTCTGGAAGACACTGATCATTTTATTTTCCCACTGATTTCTTGGAAACAGCTCCCCCACTGACGTGAGATACATCTGAGCCTGTGGTTATATTAGGATGCTCTTCCAAACTGGCAGTGCTGAGAAGAGGGCAAAGGGGCAAAGACAAATGCAGAGGGACAGGACAGATAAGAACAGTGAAGTCACATACCTTCAGGGATGCACTGTCCAAGAACAAACTTATAACCCTTACAGCATTTTTTCCTGAAAAACAATAAAATAAATAAATGAATAAATAAATACATTGTCTAAAGGTTGATGCTGCCTTTAGAAACAGTCATGAGTATATCACGTATGTGATGAACGAAATAAGATGAGGATCCTGAGCTTCACAGTTGGAGATAACACCATTAAAGAATGCAACATGCAAACACACCACTCGGTCCATGAGGCATTTTAAATGATGGCATGACTAGCCAACTCAGGAGCCTGGGGCTGGGTAGCCAATGCGAACACACTCAGCATCCCAAGTATTTTCTCCCTTGTGTTGAAAGGATGCAGCACTCCTCAGTGCTGTCCATACACACAGCTCAGGTCATAATTTTCATGATATGGTGAAGGGTGTTTTCAAACATCCATCATTACAATGTAAACTTGCAGAAAAGGTACGTTTCAGCAAGGAGTGCACTCAAGATAAATGTTATCAGTAATTTCTCATTGTTTGATTAACTGGAAGGTGGTAAGTGAAATATATTGGGTATTTCAACTGGAGCAAGGGAAAGTATCTTATACAGACAGGCAGACACAACTGCAGTGAATAGTCAATAGGCCAAGTACTCTTTGTGTGCCTATGATATGAACAAAGTGCTGAGAAATAAATGTTTCTTACACACTGGCCTGTAGTGACATTCAGGTATTCAGCTATACCTGCCTTCTAGACAGCAAATCACATCAAGTCACCAGGACTCCCAGTAGTGCTAAGAAGCCTTTACCAATGGCTGTGTCCCTTAATCACTCTGAGAGCTACTCGCTGCAGGGATCTGGTGACTTTAAAAGGGTCCCACAATAGTGCCTACCAGACACCAGGACTGCTGCAAGAGAAGCAAACTGCTGTTCAGTGTACTATTTTATCAAGTTTACATGAGTCTGAGGGGAAAATAACCCTGTAATTTACAAATTCACAGTTTTTCATGCCCCATGGATATGCTGAAATATCTGCAAAACTGGGAAACCATCCATTTGGTCTTTTCCTTTAATTCAGTAACTGACGTAGGAGAGTGCTAAAGGCATGGCAGTCAATGACACAACACTCCCCTGGACAACACGCAGCCATCACAAATCATCATTAAGTTGAATTTAAATCAACTATCAGTTGCAAATGACCACTTAAAACAAACAATGCATCACTCCAAACTATGTAAAAACAAACTTTGGCTCCATATTTTACCCTTTTCCAAAGATTAGCCAGAATATAAATTATACTTAATGAAGGTTGAACATCTGAAGAGGAAGCTTTGCTTTGTTATGCAAACAACTGGTCCCTCATTAGACTTTTCTCCAAACACTGCTGTGAAGTTTTATCTGCAAGACTAACAAATGCAGGAGGAATGAGTTCAAAGGTGCATCGGGGAGGTTGTTCATATGCTGCAAGCCATGCCGTTGTCTTTCCAAGTACACATTCATCTCCTCCTGTCTGAGGAAGAAAGGAGGTTGATAAAGCTTTGCTTGTAGCTGCTCTTCAGGGGAAGATACCGCCTTGATTGAGAGAGGGATGGGAAAGGAGAGAAGGGTATCCCAGCCATCAGATGCTGACCCATAGGGTTATGCCAGCCAAAACTAACCAGAAAGAGGAAGCAGTAGCTTTCATCCCTGAGAATTCCTGCTTAATTTTCAGGCTTAGGACCCTTAGGACTCCCATTCTTGGACAGGCTTGTGGCAGCAGATGCCAACGCTAGCTGGCACAACCTGTGCCTAGGTAAAGATTCGCTTGCTGGGAACCCTGCGGGAGCTGCTTCTCTTCTCTCAACTCGGCCAGCAATGGCTTTTGGCTGAACTTGTTGGCTTTCCTGTGGATATGCTGTGGTTTTATCTTCCTTCCTGGATTCTCCTGATAGCCAAACCACTTGTCCTGATCAAACCCCTCTCCCACAGCCGCGCAATAAGAACCCACCACACACTGAGGTACAGCCATTAAATACTGCCCTGGGACCCTGGAGCAAGCACAGCCTTGTGTAGCATCGCAAGGGGTTGGTTCAGTTAAAGAAAGAGGAAAATCGTACTGCCCTTGCACATATTCAAAGCCCATGCTTGGAATCCATCTCTTGAGTTCCACAGGGAGACATTTTTGACACATCACTTCCTGGTTTTCAGTCTTCCTTTCAATTTTTGATGAATTTTCCCAGAGTTTACTGGAAAGGAGATTTGGAAATATTTTCCCTAAACACCCAAAGATTTTTCCACATCATCAATGCTTTAAATCACACCTAAAGATGCGGTTTAGAGGCTCTGCTTTCAGTATCACAGACCAGAAACCAATTTGCATGATGATTGTTTCCCAGTTCCGGATTACAGATCTCTGTATCAGCGCAGCCTGTGCTCAACATCAAGCTTCAGCCATCAACGCGATTTTGCCACAGAAACTGCTACTTTAGGGTTAATCCATAGGAAATACAGTATGACAATACATGTCTCTCTGAGCATTACAGTGCAACCCTGGGATCTGTGCATGCTCTAGCTTTTCACATTCTTAAATCTGTCAAAATGATGGATACATGAGTTGATTATTAGCAAAGCCATTTTAACAGCAATATTCATTTCCAGATATCCAGCTCCAGATTGACATGTCTAATCAACATTGCGCAGCAGTGATCTATACACAGGGAGAGGTAAGAGGGGGTCCCCACTGGTAATTTTAGCTACTGAATAACTTTCAGCAAGGCGGTTGCTACGCAGCTGTACATGTGAGCGTGCATTGAACACCAACTAATGCACAGCTGTGCGAGCTCAGCCGCTAAAATCTATGTGGAAATTGAGCCAAGGTATTAACTTTAAATATGGTTTCCAAAAGGTGAATCTTACTGCAGACTCCTCTGTTACAGCTTTTAATAGGGTGCATCAGCTATTAAAAGCAGAGAAACTTCTGATTCTCATGCAGTCTTCACTCAAGAACATGCACAAGCCCAAATTCCTGGAGGGTTTTGAGCACCATGATTTTGATCACTGCAATGTCTAGCTTTTGTGTTACCTGTAGAAAAATCCACAGTGATAGGGACTCTCTCAAAGCAAAGTCACCCCTTTTATCTGACAGGACCTGATTGAAAAGCAGAGAGGTGCTGAGCTACTCCCCTCTGCTCTGAATGTTGAGGTACTCCTGGATCGCTGGATGTCAGAAGATGGAATTTAGTGTCAAACCTTTGATACTAGTGAACACCAGACAAGCAGCTGTGGCAGGCTTTTGTGGCCCATCACCTTGCAGATTGAAAGGAGCACCCCCATGTCCCATCACCCACAGGTCCCCCCTGTGCCCACCACATAGCAGTGAACCAGCACAGCACTCCCTACCCCATCTTGCAAAGCAAGGCTGCTTGATAGCATCGCCCCAGACAGGCAGGATGAAAGGTAAGATGCAAGGAATGTGACTTAATTAAGCCACCTCTTTATTAAGTTAGCTTATCTGGCAGCTATCTGCAGTAATTCATCCCGTGTGGACCATGTTTTTTTCCCATAATTGTTTCCACCTGGTGCAGAGCTGCCATCATCCCCAGCCCTCCTGCTCTGCACAAGGACACTGGGGCACGCTGAACCTGTACAATATCGCTGTGCCAGAGGGAAGGGAGTGATCCAGGGTCCTACAGAAGCTGAAATGCTTTGGAAACGCAAGCAACAACAGGATAAACATTTAAGGTGATAATTAACCTGTGCCTGTCTGCAGGAACATGACAGCAGCTTGGGCTGTGGCAACAATTGGCTCGGAGCTGCCTGATGCATATTGGAGTTTTGGTTAACTTGAGCAAACAGGCGACTCTTAAAACCTTATCATGACGATTATTTTGAAGAAGACACAATGACCATTTAGTGTTTGAAAAAAGGGAAGGAAAAGGGAAAATGCGCATTGAAATGTGAAAAAAGAAAAGTTTTATACTGGTTTTAGATGAATGTAACACGTTAAGGAAACTCTTGCTAAAGATATTAAAAGTGGAAACAGAAGAGTCCACTCTATGAAATATTTGCCTCCTAGGAGCAAAGCAGACACAGAAATCTCTACACTGTGTCAGAAAGTGAGTTCTTAGGATAAAATATGGGCCTTTTTTATAGGTCAGCTGATGCCTGTTCTTCATTCACTGCAAAATGCAGCAACTCCACAGGTGGTTGGGCAGGTCAAATCCTTCCGCTCTGACAATGTTATTTCTAACCCATGAATGTCAGAAGAGTTGCACTTTAGGGGGCATAAGAGCTGCTTAACATTTTATGTGGGTTTAGATATAACAACACTGTTATCCCAGGTCAGTGCTGGTAGAAAGTAATAATAATACAGTTGAGTGCATATATGTAATAATAATAATAATAATAACAATAATCTCCTATTGAGAAAAGACAGAAGAAAAAATTAATCGAATTTCTTCAATGTCATAACCTGAACTCAGATGACTTGTGCCATATCTTGAAGACCTGAGTCAGCAAAGGGCATGGCATGGCTGTGTTTAATTGCACAAAGGGGTCTTTGTTAGACTGGCCCCTTATTGTGCCTGCCCAGTGTTTCTATTTGATCACCCTGACTTTGAGAAATAAACAGTACAGCAAAAATGCAAATGTAAAATACAGCAATTAACTTCCAAAAATAATTGGAGAGCAGTGAAAGCAGGCCAGTAAGGTACATTAGAAAAAACCCAAAACAAAACTAAAAAACCCACCCCCAACTGTTGTTTTTCTCATATTCTATATAAAATCCAAATGAGGGACACAGGTCTGTCTGCCAAAGCATGCACAGACAAAGCCCATCTGCAGCGCAATGTGTTAAGGAAGCAGCTCAGTAGCTGTGAACAGTTTCACGGTAATTCACATGGAGAGAAGATTTATGGCAACATGGTGTAAAACTGAAGCAATGCTTTTTTTGTTTGCCTTTCTGCAGGATACATACCGAAATCTTGAGTAAGAGAGGATGGCCTCCCTGCAGACACTTGCTCAGCATACACTTTGCCATGATTTCCAGACTTAGTTCTGTTCTTAGTTTTGTAAAGAGATAATTTACGTTCACACTGGGTGTA